TCTTACCCTCGCGAGGACAGGGTCGGCGCCTGGAAGAAGAGACGGGGACGCCGGTGGTGCGGGAAATCCTGCCAGCACGGTTCGAATGACCGTATTGTGTCGAATCAACTCCAGCAAATGTTAAGCAAACAGATGACGCAATCTCCGGAAAGATGCATTACTTCTCCACAAATTCTTGTAAGCAAGCGTGCAGTTGTAGGCGGGAGGATGGCATGTCTCACGCAGTCTTCTCGGCCTTTACGGAGGGCTTCTCAGCTTGGCCAGCTTCCTGGAGCTAAGAAATGACAATCACCATTCCACCAAAAAAATTGATCCAAACGTGCCAAGGAGAGGAAATCAGACTGCTGTGTCTGTAGTTGCATCGACACAATACCGTAATTAGTACGTTGCTGGCAGGAGTTCCGTCACCGACGCCCCGTCTCTTCTTGTGACCACTGACCCTGTCCGCGCGAGGTTAAGACCTAACGAAACAGCATGGGTCAGCGGCGATGTGTCGAGACAAACATGTTGGCAAGGGAACGTTGAAGGGACAAGGGGGGCCATTTTCTGTTTTAGTATTGTGTAGTCTGACACACGCAACCATTACGGCAGTGGGGCATGAGGAGCTGATGGGCTTATGCGGACGTCCAGGGTTTGAGAAAAGTGGTGTCGCTGCTTGTCGGATACGTATGCATCGGCCTCATGATCAAGAGTTGAGTTGAAGAGACGCGAAGCCTTTTCGCCTGCTTTTGCTGGCGGCTGCTTGTGTCTACTGCGCTCGCCTCCTCTAAGCGAATGTGGTCTTCACGATGTTGCTACAGACGGGAATGAGCGTCCACCTCCTCTACCGAGCATGTTCATGTGGCTGTTTTGGCGCCGAGACGGAGATTGAAGCCGCGTCGTAGATCTTTGGCTTTTGGCCACGAACGGAGTATACCCTCGCGGTACTGGAAGCCCAAATGGCCAAATGGGGACACTTTGGGGACACTTTTTGGGACACAGCACTCAAAGGCCTATTTACCGCACTGTACATGACCATAGGCTCCGCTGTGCGCAACGCACGTGAGAACCCTTGGTCTATCATGTTTGTTTGGCTGAGGTGGTACGCTGTGTGACATATGCTGTGTGGTGCATCTCCTGTGGGCCTCTGACTTGCTGTACACATCTCTCAACCCGGGTGCCCCCTGGGTCGTAAAACTGCTGTATATCGCCTGGTACCTGGTACCGGAAGAAATTGCTGACTTCAGTATAAAGTGGATATCCATCTTTCCATACTGAAGCCAAAAGTCACCCGTTTGTCTGGCAAGTAGCTCAGATTCTCTGGAGGGACTGTAGCCCCTCCACCAATGGCTGACACACGTTTTTTCGGCCTTTTTTTTTTGCGGAGGGCTAACTGCTGCTGTGTTGTAGTGTACTTGTAGACGTCCTCTGTAGTGTAGACTTTTTTTTCGCCGACTGGTTTTTCGTACTCTGGGACTGGGAAGTTCTTTCGCCGCCCCACGGGCGGCCACTTTGTAGAAAAGCGGTATGGAGTGTAGCAACTAGCAACGCGATAGATAGCTGTTGCACGATACGTGCGAGCATGTAGTGCCATAGAGTCTGGGTTGTTTGTCCTTCGGACACATGTTCGTATGTATGTGCGCAATAAATACTACAGTACAACGTTGTCAGTTGCACAACGTCTGTACGCGTGGATCACTCCTTGAGCTTTTTCATGTACTCTGTAGACGACATCATCTACTGTAGTATACAATCTAATTCATCCATGTACACCTACCATGTAAAATCCCTTGCTCCGCGAATCTGCGATGATGGTGTCGACCCCCAAAACAAGCTCGAATGAACTACTGTAGCTGTCTTCTCATCCAAGGGCTCTCTAGTCATGAGGACGCCTCCAAGGACTGATGCCACGGCGTGCGAGAAGTCGCGCTTTGAACCGACCGACCAAGACGCGTCTCCACTCACATTTTCGACTACATAGTAGGGTTATGTGCTGCGCACCCGTGACGATGGAACTCTCTGCTGGCTGGCAGTTAGTTCATCACCGGACGACCGTTTTCGGACGACCGCTTTCGTCTTCACGGCACTCTCTCTCTCTCTCTCTCTCTCTCTGGTCTCGACGCCACGGCAGTCCTTGCCACCCGTGATTTGTTGGAATGGTCTCATGGAGAGAAACGTGTGCTGGAGTGTATGTGTCCCGCGGCCTGCTGCCAATATTCAGAAACGGTTAAGATACACACAGATGGTTATTCCGCCGCCTCCCCCTGTGTGCTACGCAAGGAAGTTAGTTGTGGTTCTACTGCTGTACACAGACTGAACCCGACTGAACCCGAAATAATATATTCTATGTCAAATACATTTTGTACAAGAAGTGGTACTGACGTAGTAGATGTAGTAGATGGCGGATTGGTAAAACGGAAAAACGAGGTAAAATATATCACTGCTGTGAATTCCTTGATAGCATATCGCAGATGATATTAATCTGTGGACAGATAGATAGATCTACTTTGAAATACCCAACGACAGCAGCCGACCGTATTATTTATTAATTTATTTTTTCTTCATATTATATGACACAACGAATCCATCTCTATCATAGAAAAGAGCCAGAGACACTATTATTAAAAGGAGGCGGAAGTAATCTTTTTGTTTGCGATGACTTCACAAAAATTACATTTAATTCATACCGGAGCAGCAGTGATGCATGACCACAAACTTAGTTTTCCGTTTTCCAATCCCCCCACTCCTGTTTTTTTTAGTCAAGAACCAACATGGCACACAGGGGATGGCGGAGGAAAATACCGCTATCTGTACTGTACTGTCTGTACAGCAGACCCAGTTTCTGAGTTTAGCAGCAGGCCGCGGCGGATTTCATACACACTCAGCGCATCTATCTCACCCTGAGACCATTCCAACAAATCGCAGGCGGGAAGGACTACTACTAACTTGGAGTCGAGACCAGAGAGAGAGAGAGAGAGAGAGTGGTGGACACGAAAGCAGTCGTCCGAAAACGGTCGTCCGTTGAACTAATTGCCAACCATCAGACAGAGAGTTCCATCTTCACGAGTGTTTGTGTAACAAAACTCTACTTACAAGTATTGTGTGGATACAACTGCAGTGCATACCGGTTCCCTCTGCTTTGCACGTTTGGATCAATGTAGAGGAATGCTGTTTGTCTTCTCTTAACTCCAGAAAGCTGGGCAATCGGATAAGCCCACAGGCTAACAAGTCTCCGTCAGACATGCCACCCTCCCACCTACAGCTGCACGTTTTGTTTTAAAGGACTGAGTCAATATATCAGCTTCTTTCCGGAGATTGCGGCATCTGTCTGCTGAGCCTAAAACCAACAGCAGTGTCGTCTATTCTGGTGTCTGTCCTTGGGGCGGGAACCAGACGATGTATCAGGTCTGCCGCTACGTCACGGTAAACATGATGCCATGCCATATCACTCGGTTACCAAAGCTCGCCATCAGCCCTCGTAGGGAAAGAGCTCATGGACAAATATATATCTGTCCACAGATCCTACGGCAATATATATGGCAGTCGGCCAGGAAGTCTCCCTGACAAGCGCGGGAAAGAACCAAAGTTTCATTTCACGGCAAAGGGACCAGCATTCACTCCTTGGTCATGACATTCTTTGCCATCGCATCGCTTGCAGCGTCTACCTCCCAATAACTACCGTCCCGCTTTCTACAGAAGACGGTCCGTCCGGGGCCGCGCGAATATATATTTTTCACGAAGAGGAGAAAGTGCTCGGAGGTACGAAGGAGAGGAGAGTTCGCCTCGGAAGCGGGTAACACGTTTATCTCTGTCATGGAACATGCTTGGACCCCCTGAGCCATCATCGGGCTAAACTCCCGTATCAGGTGGAGCAAGTCCGACCGACCGCCGATCTTTAACCGACGATCATGCCAAAAATGAGGGAAATGCAGACAAATCTCCAAACAAGGCAGTCCACACGAAACTCTCGAAGGTCCGGCTAAGGCGGCGACACATATCCCGTGATAATCGGGACGCCGAGCAGGGAGACCGAGCCGCCTGTTGCTACGAAGTGCCATTCCTGGACGATTCGACCTTCTTCTGCAGCAAGGCGATGCTCTCCTTCAGCTCCTGAGACGTAAAAGGTTTGGGTAGTACGAAAGAGCAACAGAGAGTGCGTGCGCGAAAGAAAGGCATGAGTCAGATAGCACGGAGGGGTGTTGGGTGAATAAGCGTCGGGATACCAAAGCGTTTGAAGATCCAACTATGCTAAAATGGTAGAGGTTGACCTAAATAGGGATCGCTTGATGCACCAGAGAGAGAATAGAGACCCGCAGCGCAAAATAAGCTTGCGGTTATTGAGCCGGTCGCGGCCATGGACATAGGCGCCTTCGAACTCCCAAGCGGGCGTCTTCATGTAGTAGTGGTCTCGACTGGCGCAGGCCGACAACTGTGGCAAGCAGACTCCATTCCCCTCGTCTTTTATGATAACCAGCCGACGTGCCTATATCACCAACCCCTAACTTCACACCCCAGAGTCCTGACGAAGAAAACTCCTCACATGTACATCGCACGCTGCCAATGGAGCATCAGTAGCAGCAACATTCCCCGCTCCAGTCAGCAGCGGTGCCGTCCCTTCTCGGTGTGACGGGGAAACCTCCATCGCTTCGACAGGTGCCGTTGCACGACGGCGGAGAAGGCGCTTTTCCTTGAGCTTTGCGTCCTTGGCAGCCAGCGCCCGCCTCAGCTTGGCGGCCTCCCTCTCTCGCTCGTCCAGGATGACCATCATCTCCCTAGCCCTGGCTTCCGCCGTGGAAGCCGCGAGGGAGAGAGCCGCGCGCTCGCTTTCTGCCGACGAGGCCTCCCGGGCACCCTTGTCATTGGCCAGGCGATTGGGTGACGAGGAGCTAGAGCGTCAACTAACAGGCGCGTTGCGACGTGGAAACAAGTAGGTATCTTGGCTGGTGATTGGAAGGTTGCCCTTCGAGATTCTTCATCATTCCGTCCACACGCTTGAAAGAGCCGATTCTGTCTTCCCCGACCTTATTGGTTGCCCGCGTCACTTCCTCCGCCATGAAAATAGCAGACTTTTGCGCGTTCGCGGCTGAAAATATCGGTTGTTGTGCCTTCCAGCCCGGGCACGCGCTTCACACACGAGTTTGTAGGTTGTGTTCGTCGGCGTCCTTTTTCTACCCACCCCTTTTCATCCCTTCATATCAAAATATATACGGGTAGTATTTCTGTGACTGTATATATGTTTTCCACTACAATTTCATCATGCTTCATATTTAGAGGATCACGCCGCGTTGAGACCAGAGAGAGAGAGAGCTGGCGATGCGCGAGTGGTTCCTGATTCCCGCGTGGCTTCCTCCCCGGTGTGTCGGGCTAACCCCTCATGACAAAGTAACAGTCCCCGTAAGAGTTGTCCTTCCCTTGTACACAACTTCGGGTCACGAACAACGCCCCAACGTCGCAGCATCTACAACGGAAAACTCGAGTCGTCCCCGCTTTAAGGCCACCATTGTTTCAAGGCGCATGGTGTCGCGCAGAATGCAAAGCCTATTGAGGGGACCCATCCCAGCGAAATGGACCCGTCTCGAAAAGAAAAATCGTGAATGTCCGCAAAGCGAGGACGATAGTCGGCAAAGATCGGAAGTTTTTGCGGTCGCTTCACGCTCCTTTTCTTCGTGGGCTTATCTGGCCGGACCCCGTTCTCTCGACGCAGTCCGGTCAAAGGCATGACCCCCAATATTCCAAGAATCTGTTGGATCACATCATTCACACACCAAATGGTAGGCTGGACGGCGGTACCTTCATGGCTTCTTCCTCAGCCTTCCTCGTGAGTTCGTCCACCCTCTCCAGTAGCTTTGCCGCTGACTCTTGCATTCGACGCCTGTCCGCCTCCGCGTCCTCAACCCGCGCCTGTCCTCGCTCAACCGCTTCCCCGTACCGCCTGGCTGCCTCTAGTGCACCCTTTGGGGACGAAAAAAAAACACCGGATGGATAATTCGAAATCCGGGAATTATGGACGGTGGTATGTGTCAGAGCTGTCCATAGCACCCAACACTACGGGCTTGTGAGATTGGAGAGGTCCACGCGGGCGGCAATACCTTGGTGCAACGTCACACCACAAAATGGCACATCACACTAAATTCATTTTTCTTGCCAGTCCTTGCCTCCGCAAGAGCACCAACCGTTTGCGAATGCGGGGACAACATCGGATAGGACAGGCACACGATGAATCTCACCAAGGTTACTATGCTGTACGGATGCCACGTGATCAGTTTCAATGCACATGCGGGTTGGCATACCGTTTGAGTCGGGGTGCACGTGTTACATTGTTGGCTGCATAGTGCGAAGGGATTTGACGGGCAATATACCACCTGTTCCACTCGATGTCACAGACCCGTAGGGCGACCGGCCTTATCCGTGCGGCCCGATACCGGGACGGCTAATGTACACGAAAACGGCTGCCGAGGGGTGCGGGCGTGGTACACACATCACCGCAGCGATCATCGCACCACCACTACCAGAGTTTGAAGTCTCGTGGCACAAGAAAAACCTGCCCATACCTCGCCGGATTGCAAAAATACGGAGGCGGAGGGAAACACACCTACCGTTCCTAGCCGCTTTCAAAACAATGTATATCGACCCGGCTGTCCGGCATTTTCTACTTGGCCAAAAAGAGAAAAACACCCCAAAACGAATGAGGAGTAGAAACGGAACAACACGCAACATCACCAATTTTACACTAAACTACCACAGTACTCCGAGGGGGTCCGCATCCCCCACCTCTAGGGCCGCCTCGTCAGCCTCCTCCTGCCCGCGAAGCTTCCCGCGGGCTTCCGCCGCCGCCCACTCTCGACGTTCGGCCGCCTTCGCTGCCGCCGCCCTTTGGCGAGCTTCGGCGGAAACGAGCACACGAGCGGCGGCGGTCTGACGAGCAGGCCGCCTCGTGCCCTGGCGGCCGTCCTGTGAGTTCTCGGCACAGCAGACAGTAGTGGTTCCGTATAAGCCGCGCAGTAGTACCAAGGGTTTGGTCTGCCCTACCGGGCACTCGACACTGTTCGTATTCCCAACCCTAGGTGTGAGACAACTTGAATACTACTTCCATCTGCGTCACGTGACTTTAACGTCCAGAGACCCTTCCTCTACCTATTGGCTTTGCTTGCAACCTTCAACAGTCTTGCTTTTCCATGCCAACAGCAGTCTTGGCTTGCCACGTCAACAGTCTAGCTTGCCACGTCAACAGCCTTGCTTACCACGTCAACAGACAGTCTTGCCTACCACGTCAACAGAGTCTTGTTTACCACGTCAATAGTAGGCTTGCTTACCACCTCGACAGCGGTCTAGCTTACCACGTCAACAGTAGGCTTGCTCGCCTTCGTGGTTTTGGCGGCGTGGACGGTGTCGAAACGAGCGGCAGGGCCGAGGCGAGATTTGACGGCCGTGGCCGCTGCAGACGCTTCCGCCAAAGACCTCCTGGACGCCTCGAGAGCTGATCCAGATCCAGCGATGCGTGTGGGCAAAAGGATGCCATCGTAAAAAAAAGAGCGCGTATCAAAGTGACCTTAACGACCGCGCTCGAAGAGTTGACCCTTCAATACAGACGGCAGTTGAGCGTCATGGAAGCAGCGGGCAGCTGGCTTCGACGCGATCGTCACGAGCATACACCTTTGGTGGGCTCGGCTACGACCGAGCGTGGAGAATCAAAACAGACATGGTCAGAGATGAAAAAATCGGAATGTTGGTCAACCTCTGAGTCATTTTCACACCATAAAACACCGTTTCGTTTTAAAAGTAACGATATGGTAGATCTCTTTTTCTAGAATCACAACTCAGCGATGTTCAAACTCCGCCATCCCCGTCACTTGCGTCTGTCGCTCTGCACCCAATGCGGGCACGAGCTTCGTTTGTGAACCTCTCCTGTTTTCGGTATTTTGCTGAACAACCTTGGCACCAACCTTTGTGCCGACAATCGTCGAAAATAAGCACCGTGAGCCCCCGATAAGCGGTCAGGAATAAACTTCAGCAAATACACGTTCACGAAATAATTCGAATTGGCATCCTTCCCACAAATTATTTAACTATGTCCTTATTGCGGCAGATAAAGTTGCGGTAGACAAAAACTTCCCTGTCGTATCGACAATCATACGTCGGGCGGCCAAGGTAAGCCTGCATTTATGTGCGGGGTGTGTATCTGGTTATCCCGTAATTTCCCCATCCTGCTAGTGCTGTGTAGGCGTGTACGCGAGTGGTGAGTCAGCCCTGCCAACCTTCTTCCTGCTCTAGAACCAGAATCTTGGTGCGCTGCAGCTCACTCTCCACGGCAAGGGCTTCCTTCTGTAGCGCGGCGGACTCTTGCTGCACCTAGACACACAAAAAAAAGAACCACGAAAAACAAACAAACAAAAAAGCGTCGGAAACAGGCATAGCGGGTTCAAGCTGGATGAAGATATAGGCAGGGTAGATAGCCAATCGTGACGAACGCCCGGTACGCACTACAAGGGGGTGCCTCCCGTGTACGGTCGCTCGCGCGCATGTGCGGGCGAAAAAACGAAAAAACACATCGCCCACGCCGCAGCAAAGCGGAAACGCGAAAACGGCAGCGGGCAGTGCACCGTCGAGAGAAGTGCACCCGACAAACGTTCGCGACGGTAGTCTGGATGTGCCCATCCCACCAGTAGTCCTATCGTGAAAGATGTTTCCGAGCGCCGAACCGTTTAGCATACTTTCTGCCTGGAGTAGGGACGCCGCCCTGCCTCCGAAAAGGAATTCATTGGTCGCGTGGCTGCGTTTCAACGGCTTCTTGTGGTGAGGCAGGAAAAATGGGAGGGCGCATCCCCGAACCTACGCGCACCTGCTCCAGCTGTTCCGCGAGGTCACGCTCTCGTTTTGCTCGGCGCCGCGCTTCGACTTCGCGTGTCCTGGACAAGGCAGTTGGAGGGCACGAGACGGTTAGCAGCCCGATGTAGCAGCAGCGCCAGCAGCAGAAGCAGCGGCGGCGGTGGAAGCGGCTGAGAAACACACAGCCCACAGAAGGAGCATGGACCCGCCTCAACACGGAGGCAAGCTCTGTGTGCAAGAGTGCCAACACGTGTGAAGGAAGAGACGTGCAAGAAATGCGGTGCAACCTACTTCGTACCACCTCTCACGCACGCCCTTGGTTACTACAAAACTTCCGTGGTTGCAGAGGCCAGAAAGTAACGCAAACCACGGCGAAGAAAAAAACAAAATCTCTCCCAAGACCGCAACAAGCACCACCACCATCAACACCTCACACAGCAAACCTACCAAGAGAAACCCTCTACTCACGCCAGAAAAAAAAACTCCTCACCGAATCCCTTCTGCCTGCCGCCGCAGCCAACCACCGACCCACCACCTCCACGCCGCCCCAAGAGCTTCCCTCTCTCGCCGCCGTCTTGCCGCCGGTGCAGCCGCCATCGCCGCCGCTATTGCCGCCGGACCGCTACTGCCGGTGGCCGCTAGCCTAGCCATCGCGGACCCGAGGAGGCCCAACCGCCGGGAGACAAGAGCATTCTGGAGTGCGCAGCACGCGGATTTTTGTCGCCTAGAAATGGCGCACCCCTATCTTGTACGAGTAACAAAAACAAGGGGGGGGGGTGAGTGACGCTTGACGATCAAGAGTTATCTTCTGGAAGGGGCAGAACGGGTCGTGTAGCCATACATATGTGAGAGAAGGAATTGAGGATCTCGACGAGGCTGCCAAAGAGTTTGTCGAATGTAGCAAGTTTGATGAAGGCTGGGGCACGATGGTCGTGATTCCGTGTAGTACTTTCACATAACACCACTTTGGAACACCGAAGCGTGGCCGCATCGCTGACACGCACCTGCCGTAGCGCCACGAACGATCTCTTCAAAACGTTCGTCCGATCAGCCCTCCTCTGGCGCGCTGCTACCACAGCAAAACGCTTTAGCCCTTTCACGGCTCCCGCCAGCCCCTTCCGCCTCCACACAACCTCAGCCGCCTCCATGCCCTCCCTCGCTCGGCCCCTCGCTCTCGCGGCCCCACACCACGTCAGAAACCCTATCCGTGCCGCCCGCACGCTGACCACAACGCCTCCTTTCCCCCCACCCCCGAGGACGCTGAACAATCGACCCCTCCCCACCCTGAGCTGCCTCGACCCCTGGCACAGCAGCGCCAGAAAACCCCTCGACAAGGCGGCCCGCCTCCGGTGCGCGCTTGCCACGGCTTCCAAGTCGTGGGCTTTAAGTCCTCCCGCCCCGACACATCTTCGGCCCCGGCCGCCTCCCCAGTGCGCCGGGGACAACTCTACCGACAGAGCCGCCGTCGATCCTCGTCGTACCTCCCCTTCAAACCCGGTGCGCCGCCTGCGCCACGGACTGTTCGAAAACATCTGCGACGCCCCGGCAACCCCATCCTCCCTCCCCGTAAAGGAGGCCAAGGCTTCCAGCCCGCGGCGCAGAGCTCGTCGACGTCGCCAGTGGCGGGCCCGAGAGAGAGAAGCCCAGGCACGAAAGCTGTGAGCGAGGGTGTCCACGTCGCGCCGGCGGCGGACGACGGTCACGATGGCCGTTGACGAAGCGGAGGAGGCGAGGGCGGCGAGGTGCCACCTATCGAACAGGCGGCCAAGGCGGTGCCGGTCGGCGGTGTGGCGCCGCTCCACATACTCCTAAACATTAGACCGGGAACGTTTCCACACCAAGGGGACAAACAAAGTATAGGTAAGCAGGCAGCAACACGCAGAGGTTTGGTCAACGGGTGCATGCAGCACGCAGGCGAGCCTGCGATGTTGGTAGCTATCAGTACGCAGCGGCGGCACGAGTATTGCCAATAGGGACAGGAAGGAGGTGCGTCTATTCTTGGTAGCGCGGGGTTGCATGTGCGACCGGTAACCACACGCTGTGTCAAGAACACGACGTTTCCCCTTTCACTCTAGATACAGCAACCGTGACCATGAGCATGGAAAACGCAATACCGGTGTTTGGATGCGGAGAGCTAACGACCAGACAACGCCTGACAAGGCCGCGATTCTCTCAGTGGGATGGCACCTGCGGTGTTAGGATGGACCTGGCCCGGAGCACTCTCCATCCCCGAAAACAACGACGCAGGACCAGGGCTTCGCGCCTCCGGTCCAAATCGCGGTCGCGCCATGCTTCTGTGACCGCGCTACGCCACGCGTCCATCACGCGCTTGCAGGATCGTCGCCGTCGTTCTGCGCGGAACCTTGTCGAAGACGGTAGTGGGGAAAAGCTTCGTTAGCTCACCGTCCGCATTCGTGGGGTACATAGGATGACATACCTCATCGTCGCTGCGGGAAAAGCGTTCACACGATCAAGATTCAAACTGGTCTCGACCCCATCACGCATGTCGGGCCAAACGATGCTTGCAGCGCACACAACAAGACGCCAAACACAGCTTGGCCGAGGGACAGAGCAGCAACAAGGGCAGAGACGAGAATCAAACGATCTAACCGTCGCCTCCCCCAATTCCCCATCAACAGAGTAAACATCGCATCCTACTTTCTGCCGCAAAAGTGATTGCCACATATCGTAAGAGTGAAGTATGGTATGAGAGGACTTTCAGTGACAAACCAATAAAAAAACAGTGGTATTCCCGAACCAAACAGAAATGTCGTTGAGTCGCCTGGATCGCCTTTCGCGCCAGATACCGGCATGCCCGCTGCCTGGCTACTGCTAACCCAACACCAGGATGTCAAAGAATTTGAAAACAAACTACGGCGTGCTCCCCGCCTTCATATTTTCGTCAGATCGCCCGTCCTGTTGCCTGCCATTACCTTCGTTCCAAGGCGGCGAACAGCCTCCACCGGGCAAGACAAAGCCGAGCAGCCTCGACCGCTCTCCTCTGGCGGGCTTCGCGCCCCCCGCGCTCCAAGGCAGCCCCGACGGCCCACGCCGCTAACGCCTCCCTCAAGACCTCTCGCCGTTCGGCCCCGGCCCGCTCGTGCCGCGCGGCGGCTAGCCGCCGCATGCCCTGGCTCCGTCGGCAAGCCTCCACGAAGACTTGGAAACTCCACGACAGTGTCGGGAGGAGGAGCGGGGAGGTAACATGGGCCGTGGAGCTCTTGAAACCGTAGCGGCCGTAGTCGCTGTCTTCGTCACCGCCGCGACGGTCACCCCGTTCGATTCTTCCGCCGTTGCCGGTGTCACCCATGTTGTCGACCACGGCTGCTGCTGCTGCTGCTGCTACTGCTGCTGCACCATCATCATTGCCCTCGCCACCTTCGCCATCCCCCAGATCGGCAGCCAATCGCCTGCCGTTTCTTTCATCCGCTAAAACCGAATGCATGAGCTCTCCGGTAGAACAAGAGTCCCGGCGAGGTTCGGAACGGGACCCCCGGCGTCGGCGGCGACGGCGAAAGAAAGCGTCCGCGAGTTCCTCTTGCCGTTTCTGCCGTTCCATCTCCTCGGCAACCTCGTCCCGCCTCCACGCGGCTTCGAGGGCGCGTTCCAAGGGTATCACCTCCGCCTCCGCTGCCCTGAAAATTTGATGTACGGCAAGAACGGCTCGACGGCGTTGAATGCCATCCCACGAAAATCACTTTGTCGCCTTTCTCTAGCTCGGGGCAGAAAACATTGGTAGAACATGGGATGACGTCCACAGGGTTCCACGAACAACCTCCCGTGAGGTAAACGCACTTCAGCTTTACGAACCACGCAACGAGGCCTGCGTGCGAAACACCACCCATCCCGTTCCCGGAATTGAGGACTACGGTCCCACCGCAACCCACTTTATCCACCAAACCGCTGGGCTCGTACGCGAAAGCTTCAGACACGCAACAGCATGTTCGTCGGCATGATAACATCTTGCGTTGAGTGCTGCCGCCGAGAAACTTTTTTCTCCGGCCGCCGTCCTTTGTGCTATTACTTTGGATACCGCTTTCAGTATGTTACCAACCAACGAGATCAGCCTCCTCATGACTGCCACATTCCTCTTCATTTACCCGTTGGTATCGACAGCCGCCCGCAGCGCTCGCTGCACGTCGCTCTTGGCCCGCTCCGCCCTGCGCCGTCGCTCTTCCGATGATTCCAGTTTTTCCCTGCAATTGAAGACACAGAGGCCGGTCCCGAAGAACGCACACATGCCGGTTGGATGATCGTGGGAAGGGCAGCACACCAAGTGCTCAGGGCAATGTACAACCTACGAGTCAGGAGAACCGTCGCTCCAGCCCCCCAGCATGATGGGAATAAGGCTGACCCCGGTGTCAGTCTTGGTAGCCAGAATAAACTCCCGTGTGCTCCAGCTTTCTGGTACATGAAATGGCGAGCAACTTCAGTACGAAACGACTCTTTGCCCCAAACCGTGTGGACGAGAAAGGTATGCACCTCTTGCCACATGACAACAAGCGCAACCTGAGGACACCCCATGCAGCATAAAGGTAGCCAACACCAACTACGACGACTTCGTCATTGCTCCACGACTACCCCCTGGCCTCCCCACAATTTCTCAGAAAAATCCCTACTTGTCGTACCTGAGCTCCTCCAGCGACTCCTGCCATGTGACTGCCGCGTTCACCGCAACCCCCTGCCTGACTCTCTCCTCCCTCAGTCGCCGCAGCGCCGCGTGCAGGCAACACAGCCTCTCCCTCGCCAAAGCGGCGTTCTCCTTCCCGTTCTCGATTGTCTCTCTCAGAATCCCCGCCAGTCTCAAGGTCGAGCACCTCACGGCCTCTTCGTCGCGGTGGGCCGCCGCTGCCTCCCCGCGAAGCGCCGAGGCTTGCCGGCGCAAGGTGCGAGCGTCAAAGCCGGGGGGTGGCGCTCGCCAGGGGAGCCCGAGCGGCGGTGCCGGTGGCGCCGGTGGCAGTTGTTCCTGCGGGAAAAAACGTGATGCGGTACACATTGCGGCGGTGGGAGTGGCGTCAGGCCTGGGAAGCGCTCGTCTCCGCCTTCCTCAATGAGCACGCTAGATCTCCGGCCAGCGGCTTTATCGGAATGCTGAAGGAAACGGAAGGAGGTTAAATAGCAAAGTGTGTTGTCGTGCGGGCGCCGTTTGACCCCAATGACTGCATCGCTAGTAGCCGGAAGATGGGCGGTAACGAGAGAAAATCGGCAAACTCACAACGTGCGTGGGTATTGCCAACGAACAGCGAGCTGGTTATCTGACGCATTGGGACTCTACAGCAGTATTTTCTGCTTGTTCGCAGTTCGCTCACATTCTGCAACACGATCGGCTCGAAAGGCCGCAGGGCCTCCCGCTCGAGGCCCTCGAACCCGACCTCCGCCGCCACCGCCTCCGCCACCGCGAACGCCTCCGCAACGTCTGTCGGACATCCCTCTCCGGGGAAAGTAGCGTCCCGTCCCCCCGTGCGGGAACGCCGTCCCGGCGACGTCGTGGGAGACGGCACCTTCAAAGATCGTTGGCACCGGCAGAGGGCGCGGGGCGGCAGAGGCTCGCTCACATTTTTTTGTTGCTGCGTTTTTGTGTTGCCTTACGGGACGTTCACGCAGCCGTAGTGTTTCGCTATAATTAGAATAGGAGGTTGTTGCGGGTGTTCAACTCGCTAAATTTCCAGTGAACCAGGCCAAGCTACTCTCTGATTCCGCTGGGTGCTGGTGTAAGGTTCGCAGGCACCGACGCTGTATCGCTCGTTGCTGCAGTCGCAAACATCACCGCCGCAACAAGCAGGATCACCAACCTTGACAACCCACCTTGCCCCACAACCAACGCATTTGGTTCTGTCCACAACAGCCCTCGAGGTGTAGAATTGGCGGTGCGAAAAGGAGCAGTGTTGGTATGACAGAAACCCTTCGCCGGAAGACAAAACTTAAACTTCTCACCAACGGCATGTAACCCTTCTCTGAGGGGATCGGCGACAGGTGCTGTGGCCCCCATGCACCCCCGTCTGGTCCCCGTGGCCACGCGCGAGCGCCGGGATGACCCTGCACCGCTTGGGTCTTGTGGCGCATTGGGCGGTGCCCCCCCCTCTCCGAGAAGTACTGCCCAGGCCGGAGAGAACGCTCCCATGCTGATCGATTGTTATTCAATATTCAAGAAAGCGCGGAAATATTGCCAGAGCGGAGGCGAACAGGTGTGTATTTCATTATCAGCACCGACCGCGCTAACCAGCTGGCCAATGAAAATACGATAGTCTCAGTGCGGTTGAAAACACAAAAAAGGTTGTGTGTGTGGATTCCGACAGCTGTCCGTGTCGACACGTCCGGTCATCCGATCGAGCTGTTGCACAGCCAAGAAGCTTGTCTGGGATGATGGCTTGTCTCGAAAAGTGTGCAGCCAACACAATCTCTTCCGAACGAACCCATAAGAAACGGAGAATTGGCACCACCGTGCGCAAAAAACTTCAAGACGTGTCTGCAATAAATCTGTGAACTGCCACAGGTAAACGCTTGTTGTCTCTAGTGCTTATACATTGCCGTAGAAAACAATACTGTCGGGGTATGTAGTCTATACAGTTCGCCCCCGCATGTGGGAATCCTCTCGTCTTAGGGTTAGGATCCATGCTACGTACGAATGGCCGCAATATTTGGATGACAGAGCCAACAAGTGGTCAACGTGCCCAAACTCTTAGGTTTTGGGTTTTTCGACCTCAATATCTCAACTGCTAGCTATTATCGGAAGTAGTTCGGTGCGGGCGCCATTTAACTGTGCGCCATATCCTAAAGTAAAACTCGGGGGTGGCAGCACGGATCGTTTTTCTAGCGCTGCACTAGTCTACATGCAGTCAAGGTTTTCAGCGCTCCTACGGAAAGACATCTGGGTACTGGAGGTGGTGGTGTATGCTGGGGTACACATAGGGCACCACAGCAAAGGGACCTCCATGTTGTCGTGCCGATGAGCAACCAAGCAAGCTGGAACAAGCGCGTATTCTGCTACCCATAGCCGACGCTTACCTCTCCCATGCAAGGATCCAACGACCACGATCTTACAGGGATTTAATTTTTCAACGGAGGGACAAACGTGGCACAAACGACAAGGTTGGCACGCCACCAAGGGTTCAACGACCGGTACATCACAAAAATACATGCTCTCTGGCGTGCAGTGCATGTTGGTGAAGCACGAGTGCTGCTACTGCTGTGCAATCGATGAGCTCAGTGACTTCGGTTCTTCACACCTGCAACAGACTCCTTGGTGGGAGGATCGACATCCTCCTCCCAACCAGCACGTCGTAGTCCAGGAGGAGAATGGACAACTGGCGGTGGCTGTCCATGCCCCCCGCTGCCTTGCATGCTATGAACGTTCTCGATTCCAGCCCGTGTGATCGCCTCTACTGCTGTGTGCGCCTTGTCCTGTGGTCGTGGTTACCCCGCACAACTGGCACAACTTGCCATTGGGGGCACCGGTGAGTGCCGTTTTTGTCCAGATACGCCCTCTGCAGCTGATCAAATCTGCGCCCCCCCGGGTGAACGCAAACCGCAAACCGCACCGGTCAGCAGACAAAGATCGGCATCACGTCGCGCATTGATGATCGAGGCGCGTGTACACACAGGACATCCGTTTGCCCCACGTTGACAGTCCTCCTGCTACCGCTCAGCGTGCTGATTGTACGTCAGGTGCGGACGCACGAAATTTGAATTTGTCATGTCTCGCCGCTTGAACTCCATACGGCGCAGTGGCGGGCAGGAGCAGCAGCAGCCGGAGGAGCAGCCAGGGCCGTTGCACGGCCGGGTCGAGGAAGACGGGACTCTCGAACCGATGGATGGATTCTCTGAATACGAGATAGAGGTGAGGCTAAAGCACATTTCAACTCGCCAGTTCGATTTCTTCCTGCTGATGTACTTTTAGAATAGCAATAGGGTATGTTACTGCTGTGCCTACAGCACAGCAGCAGTACATCCATACTGTAGCAGCATGCGGCCGGTCTGCATGCATATGTGACATAAGATTTCACATCCCCTGGGCCAGTTTTCAAAGCTTGATTACTCCACGAGGAGGATTTACTCAAGCATAGATGAAACGAAAGGTTTTCGGCACCGCATATGTTGTACTATGCTGTGGAGTTCAACCAGCTTTGATCTATTCGGTCCAGGGTGTGTGATATCTTATGCCACGTTCGATGATACGCTATTCTCGAGGTTCGCGTCAAGCTTTTCCTTCGAAGAATCACCTGTGCCGACTATTGCTCTCGCATTGACTGCTGATTTATTCAGGCAGTGGCAGATGTTGTTCTGTATCGCATGAGAGTCCTGATGAACACCTTGACGGAGCCGACCGGTGACCAGGGTTGTACTCCTGCGCATGTTTTGGAATTCCGATGTTGTCCCTTCAGACACGCTAGACTTACCTTCAATTTTGCGAACCGTTTGAGAACCCCACTTTTGGTGTGCGTCGCGGACCCCAGCGGCGGCGCACGATGGAGCGGAACCACCGCAGGCTGCAAGAACTCGGCCTGGTGGGGAGAGAAAAGGTGCGTAGGTTTGGTGCTGTCTTCCCTCTCATTATTCTCTGTAGAACAAGCGGCAGACCTCCATCGATTAGTTGCTGAGCGTTAAGGTGTCAGGACGTGTAATGCCATTTTCGTGGGGTCGGTTGCAAGCCCTTGTAGCGGAACTGGCGATCGCCCACCTGGGCAGAAAGCGTTGTCGAGAGAGTTGGTGTGCGAACCGCAAGCCCTTGAAGTACACGCCCTGAGACTCTGTTGTGCCGAACAACCCTGTGCAGGTTGTAATGGCAGGACCCGTCGTGAAGCCACCAAGGAGGGGCTCGAGAGCAGTGTTGGCGTCAGGAGCAGCTGCAGCAACTGTTGGTGTGCGAAAGTCCTTGCGTACGCGAAATAAACCTGCCCCCGTCTACACGGTGAGTATCCCACGCCGACTCTACTTCGTTTCCGCATATCGAGTGTCGTTGATGGGCTGTGCACGTCGTCCTGGCGGGTGTACGGTTTACACATGCCGCGCATTTGCGGTGCCTTCCCTTGCGTAGATTTTTTCTACCTTCACGCAGGGGTACAAGCTCCCGACCTCCCGCGTTGTGTAATTTTGTGGAATTCCCAGTCGCCACACTCATTGGCATTGTATGCCACTGTGTACAAAGAGACGGCACCCCACAGCGGCTACCCACGGAGGCCGCGAGCAGACCACGATGTACGAGCAGCTCTGACTGGTGCTGTCCTTGTCAAGAGTAGGGGTGCCCTTCCATCCCCTCATGGTCCGCCTGAAACGTTCAGCAACGAACTGATTAGCACGTTTCGAATTCTTCGACTATCACCATCTCCACCAGTAGATGTGCCAACATCGTATCTGACGTCTCAACAAATTTCTACAACGCACTGTCCCCGTTCCGCCATTTTTGGTGTTTTTCTCTTCGTCCACATCCATTCATGGCGCGCCCTTGCTTCCCCGCTGCTTACTGCCGGTTTTGTCTTTTGCGAATTTCGCAGGAACATGCCGTCGGTTTCGACGATGAACGCGATCGTGAACAAAAGCGACGGAGGCTTTCGCCCGTAAACGAACAGCAGGGGTGGGAACAGGCCTCGCTGTCTATTCCGACTGCCGTTCCTCCTACGCCCGCCCGTCGAAGTACCTCACAGGCTTTGCCTCCGAATAGCAGCAGGTAATTATTACTCTCGGCTTAGATCTCCAGAAACCACTAGAGCGCTATACACGGTGCTGTGTAGCTGGATTGTCGCGTTTGGTGCGTGGGGGTATTGCTTCAACAACACTAGCGACTCAAGAGACAGCATAAGACTGTACCATACTCGCGGTCTGTTCTGTCACGGTTTGTTTTTTTTGTTCTGAAATGTGTTTGGCCTCCGTCAAGAATGTTCCCACGGGCGAGTTGGGCGTTTAAAGATGTACCCCGTCACATATTTGCCGCCCTATACAATTACGCGTGAGAGCTCAGGCGAGCTGGTAGTTCCCGGCACAGTAAAAATCTTGCCTCCTGTTGAGGGGTGCCTTCCTGATAGTGTGCTGGGAATTTCGGTGTCCCTTGGTAGGAGCCTAGATTCGCGAACCCTGTGTGCGGATTGAGAACTCATGCACCACTTACCCCAAATTCCTTCTCCCTACAATTGGGCTTGGTAACATTCGTTCCCCCGTAAACTCCAGTTGGTGACGTATTGGTCAGCAATGTTGGCTGTTGTGGAGGGCACACCTTGTTCTCGTCCTCTATGATCAAGACGTTTCCCGCCCTTTTTGTTTTCTTCTCTGCAGGAATCTGGAGTGCAATATCCCGATGCTAATGGAGCGGTACCTCGGTAGACAATTCCTTTCTTTCGGCAAAGCCCCTGTCATGGAGCTGTCTACCAAGACGTGCCCTCCGAAATTCAGCAGGTGAGGCGGTTTCCGGCGTCGATAGTCGAAGCCGAGTATGCCTGTGAGATGAGTAACATTTTTGTTGCATCTCAACCAACTGGCGGTAGTGCACAGGCGAATGCTTCGCAGCGCTACGCACACGCGAACGCATGCGGTATTTTCTCTTGCCAGGCTACACATTATATCTTCCTTGCCAGTTTCGAGTTTTCGGACGACCCTTCGTGTTGATTAGACGGTGGCAACATTTCGAGGCAGCACCGTCCTTCCGCCCCTTTGTTCTTACTCCCGGTCTTCCGGTGAATCCTCCAGAATGTCCGGCGTAACGGAGTGGAAAAACGCCGTGTTTCTCTGGGTGAACGTGGACGGGGGAACAGGCTACACGAACCTCTTCGAAGAGGATAAGTTGCCGGAGGCGGCAGACGATGCCGAGAGCACAAAGAACGGCGGTGACATCGCCGATAAGAGCCGGCGAGAAGTGCCGGTGACGGGCAGCAAGAAACCGGTGATTGGAGGGGTTGCCGACAACCAATTACAGCGCGATCAGAAGGCCACGGCCACTGTTGGCGCTGCAACCGCTGCAGCCTGTCGGCGCCCCACATCGCCGCGATCGGTGAAAGCACCGTCCATACGAGGGGGTAGCGGCATCATGGCTGGAAATGATGACACCGCTGCTATCGGCAATTTTGCTGGTGATGGCGGGCGTGATGGTGCGGCCTGGGGTGACGGCGGTGGTGCCACTTGCGACCGTTCCACGGGGCTCAGGATGACGTGGTTCGCTGGAGGGCGCATGACAGCAGAGTCGGCCCTCATCCAAAGATTGCTGGCCGGAAGAGACCCACCGGAGACTGAGGATCAGCCGAGCGAGGCAGTCGACGCTGACGCTAGTTCTGAAACGACGATGTCGACGAGCGCACCAGCAGCATGTGGTCGAGATTTGGAGCAAAATCGACACGATTCTGGATCAGCAGTAGCAATGCCAGTCACGACGACGACGACAAGCGAAGCAGCGGGCGAAATGAACAGCGGTACTGCGCACGCACCGTGTCCAAAACCACAAGCCGACGTCGAAGGCCTCGAAGCGAAATCAGCTGAAACCACCGCTGCAGTGGCCGAACATGGTGCCCTCCATGGGCCGATCTTGCGGGCTTCGGCATCTCCCGGTGATGGTGTGGAAGGCGATGGCGGGAAAAGTGGCGACGTGGTGCTCTTATTCTGCCGGCTCCCGAACGAGCCGTACGTGTTCTGCGGACGGCTGGGATATTCGAAGCACTGGGCCGGTGAGCGGCCAGTTCGGTTCGTTTGGCGGCTGATAGACGCCGCGGGGTTGACGAAGCGGCCTGACTTCAAAGCCATTTTGGAGGCGGCAGGCATTGGAAGTGCCGACCCGTCGTAGAACCTTAATGAGTAACGTACGGTGCATGTTAGCGAGGAACCCTTCGCGACCATCACTGGAAACGGCGAAGTCAGCGTTGTCCCTGCTGCTGTCAGTTGTGCGTGACGTGTGTCCTTCTGCGATACTGCCTCGGAACGTAAATCGCTGTATGTACGTGAACCAGCTCCGAACGACCAGCATCTGGATGTTTGCTGTCCGAGCCGCACTTTAGTCAAAGAGATCTAGATACGGGCCTCGGTAGATGGACATTGTTTCGTATGTGTCCTGATGGTGCCAACTAGGTGGCTTGTAGGATCAAGTTGTTATGACGAGTAGAGTTAGTCCCCGTGCGTATGGGCATGATGGTCATGGAGCGTGCCCAAGAGGTGGGGGGAATTTGTGTCTGCGTTGATTGTCAGCACGGTGTGTAGTGCGAAATCCCGGACAGAACACCTCACTCAAGCTTGACGGCAGACACGTGAACCTTTGAGGCGGCTTTTGGTACGTGGACACGATTACTGGTACTATCAAATGCGTCTGATTGGAGCACCCCGCCGTCGTTGAGGATTTCGACGCTCCTTTGCCGTTGAATCTAAGTTCACCGGGAAGGCGCTAGCACCAGTGTTGCGGATATCTGTATCCCGCTGACCTTCCCTTGATCGAGGCCTCGAGGACATTCGTGCACTCACACCATTCATGCCATGATTGGAGGTACATGAAGTTGTCTTGGATGGAAGAGATTGTGACGAGCTGAGTGGGCTGCTTGACCCTTCGGCGCGAGAATTTTCAGACCAAGAACCCTAAGTGCAACGAGGGAGAAAGCGAGGAACCGACTGGGAAGGACAGCAACGAGAGCGTGTTCGGACGGAGCGGGTCGAGTTTGGTGGTGCTAGGACTGGCCGCAGCGCACCGGAGCAGCGGCACCGGAGCACACGGACGACATCGAACCGTGACACACGGACGAACATTTTGTGTTGTCATTTTTTTTCCGTTTTTTTTCCTGAACATCGGTGTTGGGTGTGTGTAGTGACGTAACTGGTTTTGTACAGAGACGCGGCAGAGATGGCGCGGATACCCCGGGTGCCTTTATTGTGTACCTGCATCTTCAATGTGGAACGATTTCTAGTCAGTGTCGATTGTTGTCACTGCTGTGTCCAACACAGATAGATAGATGATCCGGGGGTAGATTCGGTGATTGTCAATTGCAATGATGGCTTTGGTTGTGTGTTATTTTCCACTGTATGTCCACGGACGCATTCTGACAGCACTTCAGACAGCAGTTGCGCGCCCCGAACTTGTGCCATGCCTACCATGGTGTTTTTGTACTGGCAGCACTCCAGACAGCTGTACGCTGTAGTCGACAAACATTCATTTTGGCGAAGTGTGGGACAGGGGGGATGATGCTGCTGTAGTCGAATGTAGTGTGTGGACGGCTAGTTCAGTTTTGGGCACACAAACGTGCTGCAGGGATGTATAGGTGTACCTTTTCGGGCCTGTGTACCCTTTTCTTGCTAGTTTGCGTGTTATTTAGATCTTCTGATGGCTCTAGCATTTTTGTGACAACGGACCGCGTCTTTGCTAGATTTTGGGATTAGCAGCTGACACGAGTTTAATGTGAAGACAACAACAACAACAACAACAACAACAACGTGCATAGCACAACGCAAACATCACGGCGCACGGACATATTTATTCATACCAGTATTCACATCAGCCGGTTCCCATGTTGATTGGGGTAAGATCCGATTGTTATGTTTGCCGGGATAGGATGGTCTACTGTACGGCACACACGCTTCCGTTGCAGAACCATCAATGTACACCTAGATATACGGGGCACCACACGAAGTACGGGTGGGAGAATTCGCACGCATAACATGCTCATCGACGACAATCAACCGTAAATATGGAGTGCAAACACCTAAGAGTGACATCTACATACACAGATTTCGGGGGGGCTAGGTACGGGCCCAATACACGTCATTCAAACATCAGTAGGTAGCCCCGCCCCCACATGAGTTGTGCGGTGGACGGACCCCTGAAACCGTTGGTTGCTGCTTCTTCGCTTGCATGATACGACCCAGAGGGCCGCCAAGCACCTGAAGTATCTAAACTTCCGACTACCTAGACTAAATATACATCGATAAGGGGTCAGGAAATACCGTCTATCACGACACCACACAATTTCCGCTACCTGCGGGGACAGCCACCCCCGGTGCCGGTGCGTCCCCGGCAAGTTTTTTACCTCTTGCCGACCTTTGTAGCCCATTCGGACTACTTGATCCCCAAGATTGCGGCGACTTCGGCCTGCCGCGGCTCGGTTCGTCCGCAGCTGCTGCCGCCGCCGCTGCCACCGCCGCGTCTGTGGCTCCTGGTGGTGCGCTTGCTCGTGCAGGAGACTTCGAAGAGGCAGCTGCGGCCACCGCTCGCGCTTTAAATTTCCACCCTAGTCGCCCCGCCATGTCATAAGCGGACCCGACTGCCTTTAGGGTCTGGGGAGGGGTCGTGAAATGGACAAGATGACGGAAGAAAGTCTCTCTCGGTTACGGGGCCTCATTTACTACAACACTTACGGTCGACATTTCATCTCCCCTCAAAGGGTGAGGTTCAAGGACGTCATCCATCTCAGACCCAGGGTGCATTGGAGTTAGTACCTGCCGGCACCAACAACTACAGGTCGCCTTAACAGCGGGCCGTAGTCGCCACACCACCTGTCACTGATAGCTTGCGATAGCTAACCCTACGCAAGCGTTTATCCTCTTCAGCCCGTTGATGTAAATCGCAAACGTCTCGTGGCGGCAGCTATCGATCATTCGGGCAAATGAAAACTGGAGGGGGCGCGTAGTGAAACGCTGGATGGCCAGCTGCAGCATTGTCATATTGTTAGGGTCATACTGTATTTGTCTACGCGTGAACAAAGCTTCGAGCGTAGGGTATAGCTGGCCCACCTTGTTGAGAGTGTCTTGCTCTTTCCCTGCCATGGCTCCCTTCCCTTGTGGCGTACCGTCTCCGCCCGAGGAAGGTTTGCCGAAGCCAAGGTCCCGGGCGCCGCCACTATCGCTGCTACTACTGCTGCTTGCGCCGCCCACGCGGCGGCCACCGTTGATGCTGATGTCGCTGCTGCTACTGCTGCTGCTGCCGCTGCTATTGCTACTTCCGCTACTGCTGCTGCTACTACTGCTAGAACTACTGCCACTGCTACCGCTGCTGCTGTCACTCCCGGCTCTTCCTCGTGCTGGGTCGCCACTGCCATCGCCGCCGTCGCCTTTCGTTTTGGTAGCACCACTTTTTTGGCCACCGCCACCGCCACCCACGTTAGCTTCACCGACAACGATGGGGGTGGCGGTCTCACCATCACCACCGCTCTCGGCCCCACTGCTACTACCACTGCTACCACTCTCGCTTCCGCTGCTACTGCTACTGCTGGCGCTACTATCGTTCATTCTTGTCGCATCGATCGTTATTTTCTCCCCTCTTGTCACGGCCGACATTCTTCTTGTTGGTGCTCGGAAAGCTTTGCCCTCGTCTTCACCAGATCCATCCTCGTCGTCCTCGTCGTCAGCCTCAAGGCTCTGGAGACTCTGGACAGCGCCACATGAGCCCACGGCCTGTCGAGTTTCGCGCAGGAGAAATGGGAATTCGTTTTAACATGTTCTTTTTCTTTGTCCAACGTATCTGCATTCTCTTTCCGTTGCATTAACCACCACGACCGACACACCTTACATGTAGTTCCATCGATTCGAGTCCAGGGTAAAAATTGCGATCAACATTGTTTGAGCGACCGACGTGGTTGGTTATTCGCATCGCATGCCATTCAGGGTAAATTTGGTGCGGGGGGGTGGGGGGGGGGGGGTGTACTCATAGTCGTGCATGCCGTAGTCGTTTGACCATTGACCTCGCATCCCTACAAAGCCGGGACGGAGCACGCCGGGTTCTCACCGGACCAGGCTCTCACATCACCAAGCGCGAAGCGCCGTGAGGTATTTGGCGAGTCGCATGAAGGGTGAGCTGCATCCTGCTAAGGGTGTTCGGCATCTTGTGCTTACTTCCTTGCGTACGGATGACAGCTACGTATGACTTAATTTATTTTCTGGTGCTTTCACTTCCAGAGACAGTTGTAAGCACTGTGTAACTGCCTCGAGGAAGCTTGACCATTTTAACACAACGTGGTGCGATCATCCCCCGTTGCGCGGAGTGAGGTTTCTCGACCCCGCACAACATGATCTACTCGACCACCATTATGGTTACCGCCAAAAAAAAAAACCGAGGTAAAAAAAAAACGGTAACCTGGTTGCCGAGTTCACGAAGTGAATTGGCTTGTTTTACAACGTCGTTGCCAAGCGACGAAAACCCAATCCCGATGGCAAACACCGAGTGGGGGGCTTGTTTTACAACGTCGTTGCCAAGGGAGGAAAACCCAAACCCCGATGGCAAACCCCGGGGGGGGCGGCTTGTTTTACAACGTCGTTGCCAAGCGACGAAAACCCAACCCCGATGGCAAACACCGGGGGGAGGGGGGGGGGGGGGTCGCTGAATCGTAGGCCACAGCGCATTCTCATCTCCGAGCGGTGTTCCGTGCCTATGACATACAGTGATGTGATGATTTCCACGTTCCAGATATCAACGCAAAAAATGTTTGTTTTTCGATGGATCAATCAAACACCGACACAGGCTACAGGAGAATACTGTTGGTCACAGGCTAGGGGAGAATACTGTGGATGTAGAGTAACTTCGGACAGACCGTCGGAGGGACATCGTCGAACCGAGTCAATCGATATAGCCCAGATCCTCGTCAGCATGGAAATTGCCTACGTACGCGCTACGACGATAAGCCAGACGCGTATGGAAGCACGACTCTGCGTTCAAGATGATTTTTCGATGTCTCTCACGGACAATCACCTGGAAGCCGGCCCAATGGTACGGGCTGCTGAAAGGCCTGTCCAAAGCCGCGCCGTTTCCTCGCTCACTCATGACCTTAAACAACGACGATAGCTCCTGCATTAGCGATTCCGCGTCCTCCGGTGACAACCCACGAGCATCCTGTGAGGGTGTATGGATCAACGCCACACGCTGTTGCGACAAACACATATTTTGACCCCGCAGAGTTTCGAGCAATGCTCACACGGTGGTGGCGACTCCCGCATACTCCACTTGCAACACACATGATGTACAAGGCTAGAGTACGCAGACCGCTTACCCGTCACTTGTGCCGATGTTTGCCCTTTCTCAAGCTCAAGCCTAACTACGACGTCGATGTCGAATGAGCTCTGCCACAATAATAGTAAAAACACGAATAGTGTAGCTTTTCGTTGCACAACGTCAAACTACGTCTAGCTTTGCTTAGTGGACCAAGTGTATGCAACATGCTTGCCTGGACCCGGCTGAGAATGTCCGTCAGTGTTGCGCCCCGGAGCCAAAGCTGCGCTTCTCTCAACGCCACTCCAACGGGTCGTTTTTCTCCCGCCAGGGTGGCTTCCTTAAGTTCCTCATAGAAACATAGCAGAGTCACCTGTTATCGTTGCGTGGTCAGTACAGTTGCGATTGTTTTCTTGTTTTGCTGTGATTCTTGTAGTTGGTAGTGGCGGTGGTGGTGGTGGTAAAGGCGGTGTTGTTGGTATTGTTGTTGGTATTGATGTTGTTACAACTAAACAAAACACCGGGATTAAGCGTCCCACGGGCGGTACCTGAACCCTGGACTCCGAACAAACAGGTCGGGGCACTTGCCGTAGGCTGGATAACGAAGGAACACCCCGGTTTGGTGGTCTCCTAGCGGTGGAAGCTACTCAAGGTGACACTGACCGCCACTGTAGATTCATCGGTTTTCCCTTCCTGCTTGACTTGGAGGCTTCGAATCTTCGACATTGTTCGATTTCGTAGCCTATTGCCGTCCAAACCAATATGTGTCAAGTTCAGAACATGCTCTTGCTCCATAGATAAACATAGATAACCTAACGTGAGATCCTTAGCGCACCAAAGCTGCAGTGTGCGCTCCATTCCTGACTTCAAACGTTCACGTAGATAATCAATCAAGAGCCGTGTCAGCTTCATCGGTGACAAAGGTGTCACGTGCGACAGGGCATGACCCTGACTCAAGAGGAACCATCATTCCAACCAAACCTACTTGCCACCTGACACCGCAGCATGAAAACGTCCAGGGGGGACTCACCGTATCGACTAAGGCGGTCTCCTCGTCGTACCACATCTTCTGGACTACCGTCCGCGCTCCCACGGCTATAAACGCCTCCGCAAGCCCCAGGGGTGGTGTTTCCATCCTCCGCTGGTGCAGAGTTCGTGCCCAGTAGACAAGACAAGAACGCAAACAGCGGGATAGGGAGTCCGACCGAAAGGAAGATTGAGACAGGGACCCGAGAGCAGAACAGGCGGGAGAAGGGACCGGATAGGAATGGCACAAAATGAATCGGATTTTCCCACCATTCAAGGACATCTCGATTGTTTCAGTGCGGGCAAACTATTGCAAAGGAAGGAGCTTAACCAAGGACAAAACGTTTCATTCTCGCATCCGGAGAAAACAGGATTGCATTATTGTTAGTTCAAGGAGAACAACATCGACGTCTCCCAACGTATGTTGGTCTGTTCAAACTAAGCTACATCCCCCGGGGGTGGTGTAGAATGCTACGGTGTGAAGGGTAAAGCAGCAGTAATATTGACAATCGCCAACAACAACGACGACCACAACCCCACCACAACAACAATAATCATTACCAAGTAACCCACCGGCGTGTCATCTTTGTCGCCGTCCGCAATATCCTCGCCTTCCTTTCTCTTCGTGACTTCTTGCCCGGCCGATATCATGGTCTCCGCGTCCTCCACGCTTTGCATGTCGTCGACGAACCCCCCCCTTGACAGCACCACGAGCCCGCAGCTACGCAGGTGGAGCTGCTTGAGGAACGAGGCGGCGTCGACCTGAAAAAAAGGTAAACGTACGCGGGAGAATGAACTGGGAGTTGTTGTGAACCCTTAAGTGGATTGGGGGCGGGCAGATACAGCATCTCTGGCCTCAGAGAGAGTAAACCAAAAAATGTTGGAAGGTGCCTTCAGGCATACGTCGAATGCAAACGTCCACGGAAAAAACGGCAGGTGCGCATAAGGTCTGTTCCCCTGATGTCTGGTGGCGATTTTTTTGTTTTGTCGTGGTGCGTTCGGGCCTCGAATAGAGTAACGTTTTGAAGAATATTGTCAACTTCTGCTCCTGTGACCAGTCATTCTGGCCGTGCGGCATATCTTGTTCTACCTCGTGGTAATCTTTTCTACACCTCGCCAACCGGCTGGTTACTTCACGAAAGGTGATCAGCCCGTGCAGGCGGGTCCAGGAAAAGAGCAATGTGCAGAGTCCAGCTTCGAACTGGTAGTCAGTGTCTCGACTCCACCCAACCCAGGAACTTGACTTGCGAAACCCTCGTGTCCTCTTCCCCGGTCATGTCGCCAAACAAGCGTGAGGCTACGGCAGGCAACGCTTTTAGACATACCCCCTCCCCAACCCTTGAACGTACATGCTCTGCCTCTAAACGCTTGGAGACACCCTTTCCGCCTTTGCCACCGCGCTTTGAATCTTTCCCGACGTTGTGCTTCGACTCTCGGAAAGTGGTCCGGCATAGGACCAACCCTGGTCGCGGGTAGTGGACGGCTCGACAGCAGAGGTGGAGAACCCGGGCCTGCGCCGTAGACAGTGAGGTGTTCGACACACGCCATAAAAAGGATGGCAAGCAGCACGTCAGGAAACCAGCGTTGACATCATGAAGCGGCAGTATTCGACTGATCATGCCTTGACGTTTGTCAGACGCACGCATGGTGCCTTCCGCCTTTTGGGGGATTTCGCCGCAAACATGTTTCACAATCCTTCGGTTAGAGCCGTTGCCCCAGCCCAAGTATTGCACTGGGCGTCGTACCTGATTGAGCTTCGACGCAAAAAGCCTCGCAGTGTTTGCCGCGGCCGCAGCCGCTATCTCCACGGGCGTTGCCGCCGCCGCTGCCTTACCGAGAGCCCCCCCCATCGTCTTAGCGGTGGCGGTCGACATTGCCCCCCCGACGGTGGTTCCTCTTCCTCTACCCGTCCCCCGCCCGCCGCCGCGGCCGTGCTGCCCTCCAGCCATGACTCCCCCGCTCGAGACGATTGAAGTCAGCGTCTGACGCGTGGCTGACTGCTCGTTTTTGAAGGACAAGATAGGTTTCGTGGTTGCTATTGTTGTAGCTGTTGTTGTTGATCGTTGCGGTTTGCCGTTGCTTCTTCTGTTGTTGTTTTCACTGCTGCTGTTAATACAATGCCGACCCGCTCGTGAGAAATATTATAAGAAATCTAGGCTCAGACTTGGGACAAACTTGAGCAAAATATCCTACGAGATTCAACACAGCGCCGACATCAATTCCCGTATGCTTCGAAGTACAAACCTTTGCTCAGTGGTGAGGGAAAAATACGGTTTGAGCCTCCCTTAAAATAAGTGTCATGAGTGGGGCTGCACGGTACTTGTTTTATTGTTCGTGGTGGCGGCGGTGGTGCTTCTGCATTTCATTCATAGAGCGCGGTGTCCGTGTGTCTGTGTGTTTAAACGTGAAACCGGAAGCTATAATCGCTAAAGAAAGAGAACAAATGATAAACCGATGACGTTGCACTTCTTGGCTCTTGTCGGAGCAACGTTCGGCACGAATCAATCGGTTCCGTTCACACCTCCTCCTTGCAGAAATGGCAATCGTCCGGGTCGGAGCTCCACGTCGCCCCCACCACCCTACATTCGTGACGACTGTGTCGCAACCCCATGGACTGCCCCCGCATAGGGTTATCATCACCGCCGCCGTCGGCACCTGTCGAAGAGCCGCGTCGCGCCTTCGGGTCTCTCGAGCCGTCTTCGGAGCTCACGTGGCGGAGGGGGTCTTCGACCTGGTAATTTCGTTGTCAGGCGGGTAGGAGGCGAAGTGTTACCCACGGACAGGGTGAACACCATGCCACCCGGGGAGGCTTAGGGCGCCCAGGGGTTTGCCTTTGGGTGGGCAGCAGATACGTGTTCGTTCTCCAACTAAGACAAGGGAGGCTAAAGTCATCATTATAACCATCACATGAAGCACTGACGGAGATTTCATGCCATGGCATTAATTTTGGAGAAGGAAGATATCCAATCGCGACGGCAGAAGCAGCAAGCAACAGCGACGACAAGAATACAAACGGGTCCAGCAAGCAACACCTCTGGCCAGCTGTCCTGACAACTGGTTGTTTGTGTCACAAGCGAGGTGTTGGTTTCTCTTCGTCGAGGAGCAAAGTCGTTCTTGTGGTTACGAACCAAACACGTGCTGCGCTTGCTTTTATGCCACAAGAGGACTAAACCCGTATTATATTACACGTACACGAAGTTCGTGGAATACGGTGGTGGGTGTCTGTCAAGAACAGAACCGTACTTCGAAGTGCTCATAGAGTTTAAAGAGAGTTGATCACTCACAACGCAGCACGTGTTGAAATACCATGGTATTTCCCTTATGGCGGCCGCCGCCGCTCTTTCCGCTATCTCGAGCGCGTAAAGGCTGCTCGTGTACCGGACACAGTACCTGTTTTGTATTCAGGCGGGAAAAAGTTGCCGTAACTTCATGCGGGAAAACTTGCATTTATGTGGTGTGTCCGTTTCGTTTGCAACAAGCCTTCTGTGTTTGCAAAAAACGGCAACATGACAATCTCATGATGAAGTGCATCGACCAAGCAATTTTTCGAAAACTTATTTTGTCACGGACCCTCCGAAGTTCGACAGAGCCCCACGAAACGGTGGCCAGGCGTGGTTAGCAACGCATCTAAGGGCTACTAACTAGCTGGCGGTGTTGTAGTAACATTTCCACTACAGAGAATTGTAAAGGGCAACCATTGATCATTTCATTGTGCTGTTATCACTGTTCGTCTAAACCTCGTCATACGCCCGCAGGCGGCAGGAAGGGGAATATCACTTCTATCATTGACACGGGGTCTGGTATTCACAAAGCAGGATAACGGGTCGAACAGCCGAACCTTAACCTTTGGGCACCGGCTTCCTCTGTCTGTGGCCCAGCAAAACATGGTTGAACCGTACACCAAGATTGAACTATCGTTGTCATCGCGCTGACAGCCAATCATCACTGCTGACATCACCCAGAAACACACCGAGAAAATCTCACACGCACCTGTCAAGCACTGCCATAGGTGCCGCCAAACCAGCACCCCCTCCCCTCCCTCCTCCTGCGCTTCCCGCAGTCGGTGGTCGCCCCATGGCCGCAGAACGTGGCCGCCCAGGCTCGTTGGTGGACTTCTCTTCGAGCGGAAGGGCATGCACCGGAACAACTCCTAGTAGTCCATGCTGGACTATGGTTACTTCCTTCAAGGGGCGGAATGGGAGTACGGGACGAAGGTTAGGACCGCGCCGTGGCGGAGCGTGGAAATATGGACTTGCTGACCGAGGAAAACATCGCACCAACAGCACAAAAAAACAGCAATCTCAATAAAAAACGAATTAATGGCACCTGTATGTGCGGAGGTAATGCCTTGAAAATCTTCGGAACACCCAGTGCGATGCTCAGGTCTTGCAAGGCGAACGCGGAAAGGACGTTGCGCTTCACCTGCGATTGTCGAGCGTGCGATAGTGGTTGGGTGTTGCGTGGTGAACCCATAGGGGGTGAAAAACGTTTGATTGGGGCTTATCATTGCATGTGTGCTGAAAGAATACTCATTTCGATCAAGATATTTTCTCCGTCATGCATCAAGGTCGACGAAACCAACAACGTCGAACATGCTCACAGGGTTACGGTTCCGGAGGGTCTTCAAGAACGCCTCGGTCGCCTTCCGAAGCTGCTGGGTCGTGCCGGGGCTGGCCAAGACCACTCGCACGCGCAGCGCCCCCGGCTCAAAGTCTTCGGCGTCTAGTTCATCGTCGCTTCCTCCCCCGCCGCTGGTTCCGCCGTCGCTGCCGTCACCGCTCGATATCGACGAGTCCGAATACTGAGACCCGCCATCGGCATCCTCGCCTTGCTGTCGCCGACCACGTGCTCTCGCCGCGATCGCTGCTCGCTTGGCTTCGAGATCGGTCACTGCTTTCGCGTCCTTTCCTCCCTGACCGTTCTTGGCGCCGTGGTCGTCGCTTGGCCGCCGTTTTCCTTCGTCATGGTACGCCACGAAGCATGCGACCTCCTGGCCGAATCCGCTACGGCCACCGCCACCGCCATCGCCATCACCGCCGCCAGCACCGTCGGTTGCACCTCCGCCGACGTCGCTGCTGCCACCGTCCGGTAGATAGAACCAGCAGACGAGGGCCTCGTAAGGGTCGACCATCTCGGCAAGAGCCTCCTCAGTGGGATACTCCGACGGGGCGACAAACTCCCTTTCTGAGGAGGGTTTGGCGGTGGAGGCGCCTGAACCGTCAGCCCCCGTCCCCGCTTTCAGTCCTCGCGGGGCGGCCGTGCCGCAAGTCGTCAGCAGCGCCAGCAACGGCTGGGCGGACCAAACCCCGCCGCGAACCAACCACTTTTCAAAGCTCCGCAGTTCTGTGTATTTGTTGTGTGGGGGTGGAGGGATAGGGAGATAAGTGAAGTTTTGCCGCTGGCTGAAATTTCGCACCTTCAATCTTTCGGCATGGAGGCATTACCGAGCTCTTTTGCAGGCGGCCCTCTGTGAGGGCACGCACAGCATGTATTTGGTGAAGGCCAAGCAACATTGGTGAGTTCCAAGCCCTCGAATATGTCGATGAGGGTTTCGGTTGCCTCGGTGGTGTGGTCCTAATACATCTGGTACTCTCCTATAAGCCACCGGCCAGCTGGAAGTATCTGTGAACACCTTGAACAGACACCCCCTGTCCTGTGATTCACGACGGGTATAGAGCGTTTCCTCTCCTTTCCGCAAATTGTCGGAGGGACAACTCTTGGCCTGTCCTCCTGGCTACTGCTTCGAACCAATCGACAACGACAACGACAACGATGGCACCAACACCACCAACATCAGCAGCAAATGCTTGCGACTCCCGATACTCACGTTTGACAACCTCGCCCTGCGACGGCACAGCTCGCAGGTCCCACTCCGTCGAAGCCGCTGCGGCGGTCTCGACGCCAACCCGCGGCAGGAGAAATATCGCCCCTTGTGCCCCGGCGAACCGTCGGGCGTCTTCCAGGGCCTGCCTAACCCTCTCCCGCCTCTCCGCCAACGCCGTCCTTGCTGCAGGCTTGAGTCTCGTTGCCATCCAAGCGGCTCGGAGGCCTTCGCTCCTTGCTCCACCTCCACGGTTGGCGCTTGTGCTGGCCAGGCCCCTCGGACTGGCGGCGATTAGATCTTTTTCGTCGGTGGATCCTGGCACAAGATGTCGATACAGTTGTATCGAGTGCGCTGCTACTGAGTGCAAGCGTAGTCCTAATACGAGAGGTGAAGCTCCATGAAACCCGATCTTCACGCTCAAAACGACCACACGCGTTCCCAAAATCAAGCAGTTTCGACTAATGAAACGCCCGGCAAGAAGCACGTGCCGACCCTCTCCAGTACGTACGTTGTCACGACCCACTCTCATTCTTTGTGTGCCCGAGGGTGGGTCCTAAGACGCCCCTTCGGACGGTGAAATCAGCGTAAAAACAATCGTGACGGATTATTCAGTGTCTGATGAACGAGGCAGAATTTGTCTGTATAGAATTGATTCAATGCGAGCGGTTCTGCCTCCTCACCAGTTTTCCCGGCATCCCAGACTCCCGAAATCGCCAGCTGCTCCGCCAGAAAAAGCTGCCCGGATCGACAGAGGAACCTGAACGCCTGAAGCGCGTGTGCTTGCGCTCGAACAATTCCGTCGTCGTCCTCGTCGTCGGAACAGCCGCCACCGCTGCCGCCGCTGCTGCTGCGGCGGCGGTTTCGACGTTTCTTGTTACCCGATCGTGCGGCGGCGGCGGCGGGGCTAATGACCCCCGAGAACGGAAAGGGACGATTGATAACCACCTTGCGCTGGGGTGCTGAAACTTTGTCCCTCTGCATTGTCCCCCGTAGATACATCGAAGAGAAGACATTATTGGGGAAGGAAATGTTGGGGGGAGCTGGCTCAGCCAGTAAGTTGGCGTCCGAGGCTTGTTCTTGTTGTCGAGACGGTGGTTCGGAAATGGGAAAACTTGGGGTTAGCGAGAGAACAAGAAGCCTTGGTCTGAGGCCAAAAATGTTTGTAGTAGCGGGTCTACAGTACACTGTTGCCTATTGGTCCCGCCGACTCGTACGGGCGCATTTCCCACAGCATCGCCCGGTACACTTGTGTTTCTTGCGCAGAACGGCATAGGACACCGAAGTTAGACGGCGTAAATTACATTACTGCTTGAGCGAAATATAACCAGAACATGGCAGACTCTGATTTCTCACATAAGAACGCGAATACTTGCGGTTCCACCGTAGGTTGCATAAGATTCCACACACCCCATTTTCAAAGCTCAATTACTCCACGACGAAGAACATGCCAACATCGAATGTTACGCTTTCAGAAAGCTCTCGACGAGACGGTTTCAATACCACCCTTTTCGGCACCACCACTACTTTCCCTGTCGAGATATCGAGCTTCGAAATCGATCCAGGGAGTAGGATACCTTATGCAACCTTCGGCATGCATATCACCATCCAACCACCCCACAAGCAGTGGAACGGTATACCCAAACGAGACGGCATCTACACGAAGAAGAGGCTTCATAGTTCTCGGTAAGAACATTTAAATGAGTCTACCATCGAGTGTATATTTGAAATAGGAAGGGGCAACCGCCAGTACGTCGAAAATGACTTGGCCACCCCGCATTGGAAAGTATTTCAGTATTCCATACCAACCTGACGGATCATCTGAGCTTCACTTGCACAGTGAAGTACCCCTAACCTGCCATGTAGCCGCCACTTTAAGATGATGCCCCTTCCTCTTCCATGGTATCGTAAAGCAATCGTGGTTTGTAGGAGCTGTTGCGCTCGATAAATGAAAAGCTGCGAAAACATTAAAGGATGCCGCGCGCGCACCTGCATGTCCACGACCCACTCGGGTGCTGGCCTAGACGGCGGCGCGATGTGAGCCGGCGCCAACCGTACCACCTTGCCCCCCCTCCCTGACGCCGCCGACGAGACATCCCCTCGGCCCCCGCCTCCCGCAGACCCGGATACCGAAGACGCAGCCGCGTGCGGATCCATTCGATTGCCCCCTCGAGCGGCGCCGTCGCTACCACCTGTAGGCCGCCCTCGCGGCCCACCTGGTCTGCCGGCTCCATTTCCTCCTCTGTTGTCGTGGTAGTGATCGTTGCTGTTTTCTTCCGTAGGCCTGCCCATGTAGTCCGCGAGAGTCATGCCGACGAAGCCGTCCTGCTCCTCGTCGTCGTCAGTGGTAACAACAACCGCGGTCTTGCCCATAGCTACATCGCCGTCCCCAACACCGCCAGGTTGAAGGCCACCGGCTTCACTTCCACCCTTTTCCCCCGTTGGCCGACCACTAGGAGGCGCAGCGGCCACAGTTTCGCCGCGGGCGATTGCCGCGGCAGCCGCCGCCGCCGGGCCTCCGGGATGCCGCATGATCTTGTCGACTATGTCGCGTTTTTCCACGCAGCCGGACGCGTCCAAACCTAGATTGGTCAGGAGCTCCTTCAGTTGCCCGGGCTTCCAACGGGCCAAGTCTTCCGCTCGGTACGCCTCGTTCACGTTTTCGGGGACCGTGGCGTTGTCTCTGTCGTCGGTGGCAGAGGTTGTCGTCGCTCTTCCGGCCTCTGCGGCCGAGGGTTTTACGATAGGATTGTCCGGCGTTCCGTCTTGGTCCGGGACCCACGTCCACTCCACCACGCGCTACGATGGGGTCAGAATGGATCGGAGGTTTGGGGTGATACTTGTCAGCTACGGGAGCATATCCATGTTCACACGTAGAGGAGCCCTTTGGAAGAGGTAGAATTACTCTCGACGGAAAATGTGAATTTCGGAGGAATTTCGAAGGAAACGTGTGAATTCCGAAGGAGTGTAACATGTTTCGATCATTTCGGTAATCGCAAGGTGCTCACGAGAAGACTCGTCCCAAACAACGCGGTATTTGGATCAGCATCTACCCGCAGCTCACCTTGTGCTTCGAGGAGGGGCGAGCTGCCGCTCCCAACCCCGACGCTACGCTGCCCGTTCCAGCCGTGCCGACCGTGCGAAAGCTCGGCTCCGAGGCCATCCCACCACCGTCCCGCATCGCCTTCGAGGCGACCACCATCTCTTCCCTACAACGGTCCAGGCAGCGGGCCGTGCCGCTGCCGAACAGGCCTCTCAAGGCCACGCTTAGAGACGGCATGAACGTGGTTGACCGGCCGTCGTCGTTCGTTTGGTACGGTTGTCTTCGAGGAGAAGCGAGAGGGCCGGTGTTCTGCGTAGAGGGATAGGTTCGAGGCCCGAAGACGATCAGTCAGCAGGATTCCATCGGATTTCGCGGTTTCAATACATCTTGTGGAAGTGCTCAAACAATGGGAAAACTGCTTCTCATAAACATGGAAATATTTTCGACTCGGAATGGGACACTTCCAAACAGGTACACTGAAGGTGGAGTTCGAGCTACAGTTTCGGCCGGGGGTTCAGGGGGGAAATAGGGGCAGGGGCAGAGGCATGCGGGGGGAATCTTTCACATTTGTCTAGTCCACTACAGCAACGAAAGACACACACCAACCAATCATGCGCGAAAGGGTCAAACCTCCCGACGACACAGCGAGGGGAGATAACGAAACCAGCACCAGTGGCATACGGAGTGAAAACAGCGGTAGCAAAACCGTTTGAACCACTGCCTTCACCACCCCATTTACCACCCACTGCTACCTGAACTTGAGCAAGCGACTTCTTCGTCCCGCAACACACACATATCGCCCCGGAGGGAAATGTGACTCACTACCTTCCCCGGAATGATGGCCCCAGGGTTTAAGTCCATGTCAGCGTGGTGAAGTTGGTTTCCAAGCAGCGGAGCCGCCCGCGCAGCTTCTCTGAGAGGAGGATAGACGCAACCGGGCGGATGGTTGGGACATTTGAAGAGGTCTCGTGATCGGTGGTGGTCTGGTTCGCTCTTTCTCTCTTCCAGACAAAATCATTGCGATTCCCAAAACAAAGCCAGCACGCCACCGCAAACAAAACAACACGACTGGCTACTACCTGGGTACAATATGTGGTCAGTTTCAACCGTCGCAAACAACGCCAGCGAGGACCAAGACCTCCAAACTGCTTGATACCCCTGGCCCATCAGGGATGTCGTGTAAGCAACGCAACTCGTTCTCACCTGTAGGCCTGGATACTCCTCTCGGGCTCCCCCGTCAAATGAAAAGCCTTCGCCAGGAGGCAAGTCGAAGTGACGTATTCCGCCGGGGCCTGGTCCAGCGGGTGTATCTCGCGCGCCACGCGGAGGTGCTCAATCGCGACCGCGGGGTACTTCACGTTGGGGTGAGAAGGGGGTGACAGCGAGCAAACGTAGAATCGGGTTGAGTGGGGCTGAAGCCTTCCATATTTCGCACGTCGACTCCTACCTGAGTAATTACATAAGGTGCCTGGACGCACGGAGGCCTGCCTCTTCATGTGACCCCGTGATTCATTCCTTCGAGTTGGGGTCAATGCCAGCCTACCGACACCCTCATTTGGTGAATAACGTGGCCAGTCAAGGTGCGATTTTGTAGCAAGCTTTCCGATGATTCTCACCGCGGCGAATCATTGGCGAACACCTCCCACGGTAGTTATGTAGGGTTTGTTTTCAGGCACAACATCCGTTGTTGGGCAGCAAATGATTTTGAAAATTGATTTCCTTTGTCAGGTTCTCTCGTTCGACATCACGAACCTAAGCACATGAAAGCAATCACTGCGCTTTACATGAGACGGACATGAAACCTTATGTCGACCCATCGACGATAAGCCGACCATACACAAAACATTGTAGCGCATCCCCACGTAAACCGTCATTTGACCTCCCACGAGACCAAGTCACAGCGTCTCACGTAGTCCGGTGCTACTCCTGTCAAGCACAGCTTTGACAGCTCTGCCCTCGCCCAGCCCTCTCTTGCGCGCATCCCGTCATCCCCCACCGCCCCCGATCCCGCCCCCGTCCCATTCGCGGCCAGATTCGTTCTAGCCTCCGCGGCGGCGACCGTCGCCGCTACCTCTACCGCCGCTTGCGCCAGCGAGATCGCCTCCGACAGATGCCCCCCGGCCTCCCGTGCCAGACGTATAAGCGGCGTGCGTCCGCCCGAAGGCGCGGCCGAAGCTCCGTTGGCAGTACCGAAAGGGGAGGCAGAGGTGATGGCGTCCGCGGCAGAGCGGAGCCTGCCTTGCAGGCGGGCTAGCGCGAGGCGGCCAAGGTTCCAGTGGAGTTCTTGCCGAAGCCCCAGTTGCTTTTGTGGACACGTCTGCGGGGGAAGGGTCCCGCGGCAACAGAGCGAGGTTAGGGAGAGGCTCTGATTGACCATGGAGAATGAAAGCGGCTTCGTGGCCAAACAAAGGTACTCGTGGCAAAAGTACAAGCCATGAAAGACTTTCCCGAGTGGTCTGGGATATCCACGCGAAAAATGTCCCATACCAATTTCCAACACCGCCCGACCTGCGGATTCTGGTCAATCCAAGGATGGGATAGACGTACATGGTGAGCCAGCCCACCCACGTAAGGGAGACAACAACAGCATCAATCATGCGCTCACCTCTAAGGCGGCCCTAAGGTGCCCGATGCCCGTTTCCAGGGCTTCGCTCGGCGACTGCAGCCGCCGCCGACCGGGAACATTGGCAGCAGCGGCTCGGCTTTTTTCGATGGTTGCCCTAGCCAGCAGGAGCAAGGCCTCGGCCCGATCTCGGGTGTCATCGGGAATCACCTTCAGGAAACATGTAAATCCAAGAACGTTCATACAAATGACGACCTCGTGACCGTGCATACATGACGACGAAACTTTGAAAAATATCCAAACATACCGTGGGGTAAACCTTCTACTTTTATCGCCGGATTGTGAGCAGGTGGGACCCGCGACTGGAAGAAAACGTAGTTGCAAAGAGACCGAGACCTGGAGGCAGCACTGGCGGCAGCGAAAAATCTGCTACTACAGGCAGATGACCTTGAAATCCGGAAGTCTATTGGTACACGCCACGGCCACAAGACGGACAACGACTTCTCGGGAAATTGGCGGTATCCCGGGGATGCTTGTTCACTCAAACCTCTGCACGTCTTGGCGAGGCCTGGGTGTGGCTTTTATCCGACGTTCGCGATGCGTGATCAAATACCAGTGCCACCTGTGAGATCAACCCTTGCGATAGTATAGGAGCAAATCCTGAACCCCCACTACCACCTGTGATCTCTGGGCGACAGGACTACCCTTTCTTTGCAGGCCCGGGGGAGGACCAAATCCGGTATCGTTCACTACCTCTGCAGCCTTGGTGAGGTGTTCCCAAGCCTGAGCGGCCGATTCTGGGTTGCCGCCGACCGTCGCAGCGTGCTTGTCCAGACAGAGCTTTCCGGCTGTGCCCAGCGCCCGCCCGTACGCCGCCTTAACCCCTCGAAGGCGCATGGGGAGGCGTTCCTCTGCCTCAATGTCGTTGTTGTTGTCTGAGGTCCGGCTTACCACGCGGACGGGAAGCTGGTAGGCGTGCGCCGGGCCTCGGTCGATAGGGCTGCCGGGTCCCTCGTTCTTGAGGCTCTCGTCGTTGACCAAGACCTGCATCAAGAAAAGATTTTCGCTGTTGCATGGAGCTTCGGAGAACTTGTGACCTTGTCACCACGGAATGCGTCCGCGTCAGTTGGTCGAGTACAGATATTTAGAAACTACTAGCGAAGGACGGAACGTTTTATTGAATGTGAAGACGACACCATCACCAACAATGGAGTTCGCGAGCCAAGGGAGCAATGCCAAGTTTTGTTCCGGCTCGTCTAATCTTGGGGGGCGGAACTACCAGATAACATGGATACGGTTAACTTGCGGTACTTTGTGTCTTTCCATGAGCGTTGGCGTGCGGTATCTTCCGGGCGAAATATTCTTTCAATCGAGGTCGTTTTCATGACGGGACGCTCACGGCGACATGTGCACCCTAGCAATTTTCGTCCCCGGTAGTGAAATTTCATGTTTATCAAGGTAGATTTGCAACAACACGCTTGAAGTAGATGCTGTTCTGCCCCGTCCGTGTCTGCCTTTGAGCGTCGCATCTAGATCAGCAGCAGCGAGGAGCTGTGTCGACACAGAAGCCACGAGAATCTGGTTTCAACGGGAAGAAACCAAGTACGTACGAGAATTTGCTTGCAGTCGGAGGTGTAGAACACACACGGCAGAGGTCATAGCTGCTCAAATTGAGACCGACCATTATTCCAAGTGACGTTGTCGTGGATGGACGGTTCTTTCCAAGCTGGAAGCGGGCAGCTTCAACGGAGTCCAAAAGAAGCTCGGGGCGCAGCGTGGAATATCGATGGCTACTTTTTCTCGCGAAGCGAGTACGGACGGGGGCACACAGACTGGCCGGGCTGAAAGAAAATGTCATTTGTTGGCATGATTGGCAGGGTTTTTTTCTGACTTGCGGCCTGACCTCGTAGTCTTGGATGGCCTTTTCTAGGCTGAACACGGCGAGTTCACGATTCTCTCCCAGGTCTCCAGATAATCTTCGCAAGATGCCTCGCGCGTACTCCACCTGTTTCGTTGGCGAGCGTGGATAGAAAATTCTACAGTAGTTGTGATACCATGTGGGGGATGGATAGAACACATTTGTGTGTGTGGAAAGTATTAGGTTTTGGGAACGCTTTTCCTTGTGAATCTATTCACCGTCAGCATGATGTAGTGCCCGAATAGGTACGCAGCTGTCCCGTCTTCTTACTCTTTCGCAAGCGTGAGGTTCCGCACACTCTCTCTCCTCAAAATCGAGGCCCACGCTATCCACCCAGGTTGTTGATTTTCGCCAGCTCATATTGGAAATGCCAACACTATCCAAACCCTCACCCCTGCCCTAACACTGTTAGTGTTTCTCACTCTTGAGCACTCGGGCCAATTCCTAAGCCCGCGCGATGTACTTTGATCCTAGCCCCAACCCTAGTCTTGGCCCCTTAACCTTGATCTTTGGATGGATATTCTACAGGCAAGAGGGTCATCGTGCCTGTGCCTTGGCCCGTTCTTCGATGTTTCGATCCCCCTGGAGGACTTCGCTTGCCGACTCGATGTTGTCAAGGCTCCTCTGACGGTAGTCTGACGCCTGCATCCGTCCAGGGTTGAGATTGGACGATGAGCGGGGTAGCAAGGCCTTGAACTCATGCCACGGTTTCCTGCAACGACTGTATGGTTTGCATGCCTTGCAAATGGAACAACCTATTGCCGTTGTGCCAGTATCACGACCCGTGTTCGGAAGGTTTGTACCAGACATATTCTGAATACCTCAGAGAGTCGTTACTCTACGTGGGCACCGATGGAGGTGAAGACATCCGAAAGGCTTTCGACATGAACTCCTCCCACCAGTTTCCACGTCCACACTTGTCAATGGATGGACCCCATGCTCCTCGATGTCTAACCGAGGAAACCAGAGGTGCGCTCATCCAGCAGCATTCAGCAGTTTTGGGATGTGACGTGTACATTTTCAAGACTATGGATGTTGCCCTCCAACAGGGTCGCCTTCACATGCAGTAACTGTGGGCAAACGTTCCAGTAGGCATGTGGGTATGTTGCGGTCAACCGTTGTGTTTGGTCTCGAAATACTACCCGGCCCGACCTTGGTGGATTGCAAGTACTGTCAGTCCCTGGTATTGACGGCACCCCCAATACCCCGCGGAACTACCGGAACCGCTTGCCTTGTTGGTCAAAACGGCGACCTCCTTGTAGAAACCCGCCACGGCATCCGTTCCAGCTTCGGCATCTGGCTTCACCCGCTGGATTTCCTGCAAATCTCGCGCCAAAATCAACCAGTGATGAAGCGTTGAAACCCCGGATGGTTCGTGAAACGTATCTGGCGATATGTCCAAACGAGATAGTAAAAGCAATCATCGCAGGGAGGCTCTCAGGTCCCGCCAAAAAGACACTACGAATGGCGCACAGACATGGCCACTGTGCCGGGCGAACCAATCGTGGGTACGTCCTCACCCGCTCGACGAGATCCGCCATGGCTCCCAAGGCCATCCCCATCTCAAGGGCGGCTAAGCCCCATCGCCGGGGGTACCGGGAAGGGTTGTACAGCTGCAAGCAGATGTTGTAGTGGTGAAGGCAGCTCTCGAGACTCTTTAGCACCTATGTGACGACGAGGCGCGATAGTGACCATTTTTGAGCCCGCCAGCGCTTGTGAGGAAGAAGAGTGCCCATACGAGATGTGATGCGTTTCTTGGACACGAAACAACTCTCAGTCCAAGAAGCGACAAGTGAGCCCTCGCTCACGCATTAGTTTCATGTGTTCGTGTGTTAATGTTTAACCCCTTTAGGGCTGGATCGCCTTTTGGGGACACTTTTTGTCCCCATCTTCTTCACCTGCTTTACCTCGCGAAGAATGGCATGATTGTCTCCTCCTTTGCACTACTCGACCAGGGGGGTGCCAGGGTACACAGGGACGACTCTAGTCTAGTATGGATGCTTTGTAGAGTGGAGGAGTTGAGGGTAATGAACAGGTCGAATCGCGGGGCGATTACGCCGCGGGTTCAACAGCGAAGTTGCGCCGCGTTTGTCTACCCTTGGGTGGAAAGCGCTACTAGGGCAAGCGCGGAAGAAGTACCTAGCCCACCGTTGATCGGAGGCACCGAGCAACCTAGGGCTTGAGTTAGAAGGTCTCGCTTTCCCTCTAGAGAAATATCTTGAAAACCTCCTTTTCGTGCCCCGTTTACCACGCTCCCGCCAGTTGCTGTCTATAATCCCTATCAAACGTCGAGGGGACAATTGATAGGGATTATAGACAAGAGACGGCTCAAGTGTGAAGGCAGCTTTGCACTTGCACCCAGGGATGGAACTGTCTGCACCATCCAACCAGCAGGCGTCGTTCGCTCTTTTTCTTACATTTCAGAAAATTCGCAAGAACGCCGAATTTTCTGTGCGTGGTAAGGGGGTAGCGGGGAAGTTGAATCACCATCGCACCAAGTCTGTGCAGATGAGCTCAAGTTCGGCACACACGTCACGTGTTCCCTATCCCGGAGGCAAGACCTACACCCATGATTACAATGCGTTCGACCGGGCGAGCCGGCTAACTTAGACCGGCACCGATAAAACCGACCGCGCCTGCTACAAAACAGGAGGCACTACGCTCGCGACATTCATTTTCTACCAAAGGGTCCAAATATTCCAACGGCCCTGTCATTCACGTTGGAGAACTGTAAACAATATAACAGACAGATGAAAGCATTCCGCCTTCGGAAAGCACCATTCCTCAAGCGATAGCAAGCCAATGGCATGTTACCATCCTAGGTGAAGGTGATCCAAATAGACTAGCCCTCACAAATTGGTACTTCCGGTTGGACGTCTTAAATGACGCTCACGGGATGCGTGGGACGGCCCATGGAAAATCACGTGGGACCGCTAGGATAGACCTCACCAAAACAAATGCTCCTGCACACACTTACATCCTTGACTACGGTGCCCAGCATGGCCGTAGTGTAAAACGTTTGCGCCAGCTTCAGTTGAATCTGCCATCGGGAGGAGGGCGCGCGTGCGTACATAGACGTAAGGAGAGCAGGGTCTTTGCTTGATACGTGCCACAAGGCAATGATACCTTGCGGTGTGTGCTCCTATTTGCGTTAACTGCCAAGTATCTCTCATACTACAATTCCCATGCATAAATGAGATGGCTCTGGACGAAGCAATACCAAAGCCCGCAGAGCGGTGACGCTACTACCAGTAATGGGTGTGGACAACGCCTACACGTCGTGCTCCGGTTGACAAACACAAACAACACCGATAGCTGGGGCTCCAATCTGTCACCTCGGATGTCATCCGGTGTTGAGTCATCATTACGCCGCCTACGACCTAGGGACGAGGTTTTACACAGCTTCAAAGGGGTCGGGTGCGTCCGAGGCAGTGAAATATGCTTCAAGAATGACAGTATCATTCTTGCATTGCTTACCAGGGCGAATTCCTCGGGGTGGGACTGCGCCACGTAGAGCCTGAGTGAGCGAGACCAATACTTGAAGGCATCGTTATGACCGTGGGGGGCTTTGGAGAGGAGCTCTTGGCACAGCCTCGAATCCTCATCCCCGTCCTGAGTGCCGCCGTCATTGCTGAAATGATGGACATTGTTGGAGTTGAAAGTTTAGGCGTATAGTGTTCTGTATACCACTTTCAAATGATGTGCCTGTGGCATTTGTCCCAATGACGAATAACGGTAAGGAACATGGAAGTAGCAGAGCCAAACCGTCGTCGCCAGCCCATGACGTCTGTGTGTGAGTCTCTATCTCGCCTGTTATTTGCTGCTCCTCTTCAAGTTTCATGGGGATATCAATGCACGCTTTCCCTGCTAGCGCGTGTGCGGTGACTTGAGACCTCTCTCGATAGTACTGCACGAGCATCCTCATTCAAGCGTGGGCTCGTTGACCGCGTATACGACTTTGCAAAGTATAAGCTTACTTGCGCTGCTGGCGGTGCTGCTGCTGTGGTTTCGATCGGGCCATCTCCACGCTAGCCGCCGCGATAGTCCTGGCGTTAACATGCCCTCTAAGCTCATCGTCCAACAACGTGCTCTGTCCGAAATCTTCGTCGCCTATGGACTGGCGCTCTCCGCGCTTGGCTCGTTTAGGTGGCTTTTCTTTCTGAGGGTTGGTTGGCGATCACGTTCGAAGGAGGGAGAGGAGGAGAAGAACCCACAACAACGTATAACTCTGGGGAGCAATAGTCCATGGCGTATTACTTCCGCGGGGATTGCTACTGCAGGCTACAGATAACACTATTTTTTTAAGCGACTTCATTCGACGGTGTCAAGAATACTGGACCGGTCGTAGAATCGAGCATATTTGCGATTGCACGCTGGCTCTATGAGACAGCAGTGCATCGTTTCTCAGTGCAATCGAACAATCCAAGCAGCCCGCCTTCGCTGACGTTTCGACGCCCTCATGGCGTCTTCGATCGAAAAATTATCTACCTCGGCACCAAGCGAATCTCACCTACAGATTCACTACATGTACGGTGCGACTTTGGCCTAAACCTACAAGTAAGACATTTGTCCATTGGAGAACCATGGAGCAACTGTTAACGGTCGGGAAAAAGATTGAATGCAACCCGTCATCGTGACGTGCACAACTTCTCTCCGCTTGCCGCCGTTCCCGACCAGATATTTGCGAGCGGCAGGTGAACAGTACAATAGTCAAACTCACAGACTACATTCAACTACCTGTTGTTCACTGATACCCTTGACGTTTTGCTACCACTAAACATGACAGTATATAACTACAGTAGGTCTCGAGAAGTCGTATTCCATACCTTCGGCCGCTTCGGGCGAGCTTCGCCATGGTGGAATTTAGGCTTCTCCAACGGCAACGGTACTAAGGGACCGCCAGGACCACCGTCCCCTCGTGGTCTGTCGAGCGCCGGCAGCATTTTCTTCGTTGCGCCACCCCGACCGCCGAACGACAACCTCCTTAGTCTGGCTTCATCCAATGCTACAGCTACTGGCTGTTGCTGGCGGAGTCTGCTGCTTGGAGCTTGCTCAGCGTCGGCACGGCTGGCGTGGTTGTCGCCGGAGAGAGGGAAGCTCTCCGGCCCATCGTGGTGAATTCGTGGCGAGCCTCTAGTGCCCACCATGCGCGTCATGCCCGCACAAACAGGCACAGTAGGAAAAAAACTTTTTGCTACTCTGCAGGATAAGCCTTTTGCTTTCAGCTGGCGCAGTGCGCGTGCCAACGAATTGTCAACGGAAATCAAGCTCCACATGCGCACACGCGGCGCGATTACATGTAGTTGAAACCTCTGGTAGGTCCGAACCGTAACCTTATCCTCCGCATTTTTTCCACCGCCGATGCTCGAGGCTACAATTGTGCATGTTTAGATCATGCGCGTATGTCAAGGACAACTATTTGCCACTGCCTTTTACCAGAAAAAAAGGCTACAGCGCGGAGGCTCGCTTGGATACAACTTTCCGCCATCAATAGTCCGGGCGAAACAAAGCACAAGGATGCCCCCAGTGATCCAACGCATCTGCGAGGCCGGGGTTAGACGTCGCTGGCACCGTCTTGACCATCACGATTGTGACGGAGGAGTCGACACTGCATCAGGGCGGAAGAAACAGGCCCCCAACGTGCACAATTCGCTTGCGATTCAAAAAAAGCATGTCGCGAACATGTACAGGTTCGTTGGCGCGTAGCAAGCTACATGTTACGGCGTTGTTTTCAAAAGCCGACGGAGGCCATATCGCAGCAGACAGCCATGACTGGGAATGAAACTCCGTGGGCGCCCGCCTGTCTTGGGGCATGTTTACGCATGCTTGTATGCATACCAGAACATAAGTCTCACTGTAGTGATCCTAGAGCAGAAAGCACCACCTGAAGCACCGTTGGGTCCTTGTAACCAAGACCGACACAGAAAAGGCAAATCCTGGGACTTGGAGAAAACCGTCATGCAGAGCTTTTCGTCGGCACCACACACCTCTGGCTCTGAGTTCAAGTGTATTGTGCTCTTGTACGGTGACTCTACTTTGGACAAATATGTCTGAGTAGATTTCCCCCCTTTCAACGCCCAGAGCTTTCCCATTACCGCGCATTCATGTACGCTGCAAAGTATATGCCAGTTGGCCCAATGCTGGCCCTCACAGATAAAGTATTACTATGTAAATACGTGTACCATGTAAACAACAAACCAACAGCAACGACATAACTTCTCGTGTGCCCCTTCGATTTCCTCACTTGATGCGCCCAAACGTACTGTAGGTCTTGGAGCAGCCTCAACTCGCACGCCTTCGGCCCCATGGATACCGACCCCTATGCGAGGCATATACCGGTCGGCCGGGTATGCGCTGAGCGTACGTCCCGCGCACCACTGACAGAGACAGACCTTGGCAATATGTACGCAGGTTCTTATGTTTTCGCTCCGGGGCCGTATGCGTACGATGGTGAGAATCCTCAATATGTTTAACGTGTCCCACGAAAACTTTGAGCCAGAGCGGATAGGAGGTTGTGCTACGCTCGTGTAGAGGTTTTCATCACACATGTGACAGAACCAGTCCCTGCTATGTAAACAACGCGCAAGGACTCGAAGAAAAGTAAGCTGAATGAGAATGAGACAGGGATAACGTCTTCCTGCCTTGCTGCATCCTCATGTTCGATTAGCTGTGGCTTGTGTGAACAGAGGAGATGGCGTTCATGTGTAGAAATAGTGCAAAAGCTTGGCCTTTAAAGGAAGCTCGCGAACAATATTAGCCTTCACCGCCGGATTTGCGTGCCCGGATTGCTTGATTTTAAAGCGGGTGGTCCATGAGCCCACGCATGGTCGGGTCCGGTCCAAACACCGCCTAAATATCACTGCGTAGGTACTCATTGGCTGTGGAAAGTTCATAGAAGTCAACATCCTACCGTTTCACTGCCACAAGCCTTACACAGAAACGCCAAACCCATGTTCGGCGTGAAAACCTGTGGCAAGTGAGCAAAAGCGCATGGGATTCATCCTCATCTGGATACCAGCAGCGGCAGGGTCTGCGACCAAGTACGATGGGGTGCGGAGCACGCAAATGCATGACCCCGGGGAAGGACCACCCCCAGTTGCCCCACGCCAAGCGGCGTGACGGTGCAGGTCCAGGCCCTGGCGCATATGCTACTGGTGAGAGACAGTGATACAGCTACCACACGAGGGATCCGCAGCATGATCAGCACCTACAGTCTAGGTTCGTTATTCAAGGAGCCTGGGGTTTGAGACCGCCTAGGAAGCCAGGACTCTTGACACTGTCAAGCAGTGTAAACTGTGGTAGGTCAGAGCTATGATGAACGAGATGTAATCCTAGCAACACCGGCATCAAACTCACGACATAAATAGAGTGTTGGGGAGTGGCAGGACGGTCGTAACGGCCCAGAGAATGAAGACGAAACAATCACAATACTCGACGCAGACGGCAAAACAATTGCCTTTGAACCAAGAATCGGCTTGTCTTGCGCTGCAGTGTAAATTACCGGAACGCACTCTCCTCTCCTTGCCGTCTATAGCGTAACTGGGCATATCAACGTGCTTCGGTTCCACCCTTTGTTTTCCAGGCGACTCAGCAGTGATGGGACATCACGGAGGAACATTCGCCGCAGCGGATAACAGGAGGGCGGCCACCGCGGCGCTGGAGATGGTGGTCGGGCGACTTAAGACGCTGGAATGGAGGATTGAGTTCATTCGGCGGGGGGAGAGAGAACCCGAGAAGTAAGGACTTTGCGTGAACGGGCCATACTTTCGCTTCGAATTTCCCAAATCCCAAGTTCTAAGATACGAGAACCTCTGTTTCGGATTCCGAAAAAAGAGGGATCGCTGCCAACTTACCAAAAACATGAAGCTAACGACAGGGGGCAAAAATTCATGGAGCGGTATCTTCCGATTTGGTTGGAGGAAATTTACCAGGTCAGGACTTCACACGTTTGGTGACCGCCTTTCAACGGTCCAAACCCGCCTGTAACCGATGGGACATGCTGCGGTGGTTGGCAGCGTCAGCAGAACCGCGGCAATTTCGATTGATGTTTTTCGTGAGCACGGGAATGACAATTAATGGAGCCTATTGAAGCGTCAGGTTTCAAGACACGCTTGATATTCACGTTAGAGACTATCCGGCCGGCATTGACTACTGGCGATGAGATGGACTTGACTGGATGAATTATCACAACCAAAACCACGCTTGGTGGTCCGCTTGGATCTCTGGCGTGCCTGCCTCTGCCCTCCGGCTTGCTCCTTCTTGGAAAAGCCACACAAATGCTACCGCGCGTTCGCCACACCCCGATGTTCCGCGCGATAAGTCTCGAACACTCAAGGCCAAAACTCGGTGCACGATTTTTTTTAACAAGGCCAAACGTTCAGCACCCCGTTCTCTTCGTTCCTCAACTATCTGCATTACCCTCCATGCAGATTCATCATAAAACAGCCCGGATTGTAGAAGTTTGTTTTCGGGAGAACTCAGACCAAACCCATCTAGCGCATCCATGGCACGCGAAGGCACAACACTCTCGTTCTTCACCCATCTTTACTCAAAATGCGTGCTAGTCCTGGTCGGTTTGTTCAGGACATGAGGGTACTGCAGAAAAATCGCAAGTATTGTGAACCCAACTGAAAACAGCAACAACAACAATAACAACAACAACCATATGCCAAAATACGCGCTCCAGACCTCTGGCAGCGCTGGATTGGCAAACAAAATAACCGTTCTCATTCACTGCTGTTTTGGTCCTGACCCTCCCACCCCCACAGACTGCGACCAGGTCAATCCCTCGTCGTAAGGACCCAATCCGGGCAGGAGCTAATGCGCATGGAAGAGAAAGCGTCCCGGTTGAGATCAGAAATAAAACGCCTCGGGAAGCTCGCCGCTTCAGAAGCTTCCACGCGAGACCCACTCCCCGGAGCGTCGATCGGTCGGGGGGGTAGAGCAGGGGGCAATGAGCGGCGGCCAGCCACGACGGCAGCGGATTGCAGTACCGGAAGGGACAAGCGTGGACCTGCGGGTCAGGTTCGTGCTCAGTGTGGGTGCTGTTGTTCTTGCTGTTCCAGCGCGAGGGTTAGTACCGTATGCCAGGCCATAGCGGCACGATCCGTTTCCAATCGTGCGAGACGATTGAGCGAGGAAGTCTCTACTCGCCGCCGGGCCATGGTGACCTCGCAGAGGAAATAACTAAAACTTCACACAATGAAAGAAAGGTGTGGAAATGACAAGCCAATCTAACCGTTGTAATACATGGCGTGGACAACAACAACCCAGCAACCCTCGCGGAGTGATCATTTGTTGTATTGATCTATTTTCCCGTGCCTCCTTGCAACTATCAGAGCAAGCTCAACGGCGCGTTTGCGTCCAAGCCAATACTCCAAATGATCCGCCTTCTGGACGTCGGAACCAAGCCCCTCGCCCCTCTGAACCTGTTGTTGACATTTCTCCCGTGGCTGTTGGCAGGGGAAAGACCGATTCTACGACCCCATATCAAGTACGGCAACATTCTTGGAATCCCCGGGGCCGGGGGCGTACAGTCTGACAAGCGGCGAGGGGGCCTTCGGGAGAGCTTCGATCAGCAGGTAAATTGAGCGCGTGACCCTTCACAAGGGTTTTCGATCGAGAGGCCCCCCCTCGCAGGTCGTGCCACGTCGGAGCACCACTCTTTCGTTTGTTGATAGAGATAGATCAACGTCCTGCCAAGAACAACCAAATTGAGGTCAACAGGCAACAGTTCGGGACAAAGTTGCCTACGTTGACGAACCTCGGCCGGCGAACCACAAACTAAGCCGTTAAGACGGTCGCTGGTTGGTGAAACACCACAGTCCTGACCCGCTGGCGGGACCGTCCGCAATAGCTGAGCCTCGACTTGTACACAAGGAGGCGAGCATTGTGATGAGGGCAGTACAACGCGGCCAACCTCTACCGTTCACAGACGCTTTTAAGGGTATACCACTACGGGTTCCTCACCTTCCTCTTCTGTTGCCGAGGTGCTACTTCGTGATAGTCAATCACGGACACACGCTCGCTCCTCTCCGTCCATTCATAGTTTTGCAACAAGCTACTGGGAGAGTGATGAACGTGTCAGGTGATCACGATAGAAACTTTGACTTCCAGTCGTGGTAAGAACTTCAATCGTGTTGTAGGTTCGAAACTTCCGCGGCCAACGTCCAACCGGAACTCTTAGCCGGGGGCTCCACCACAGCCTCAACGATGACCATCGGCCGTCTCCCTACCCCGCCCCCCTCGCTTGTGCTTTTTCCCTCTCTTCTCGCTTACCAACCAAAGATCCCCGGCGTTTGACCTCATGCAACGGAGGGTCATCGGAGATCAGGCCGCCGCGGGCCGTAGCCTCGCATCTCTTCACCTGCACTCTGCGGAGAACGGTGGCGGGAGCGGCAGTGGCAATAGTCGTGGTGGTCGCGACGGGCTAGGTGCACCGTTCCACGCCTACCTGTCGGAAACTGGGACCGGTCACTACACCCCGGACATGTCCGCGCCCCCGCTGCCCAACGAAGCTAGGCGATGGCGGCGAGGTGGTGGCGTAAGGGATACAACATGAAATCAGTAGTGATGAGAGGAGCGTTGGCGTACGCACGCCTCGCCGAAGTGTTTTCGTCCTGGCTGGGTTGATCAGTCAGGACGGTACCAGTGCCTGAGGTCTTCACATTCCATGTGGCACGGGCCGAAACATATCGCTTGGCTCGAAAGAGAAACAAGCACTCACCAAATATGTAAAGCGGATCAAGTCGTTTCAATACACCTACTGCATGGTATGGTGCCTACCCCCCTCTGTTGGTTATTGTCGTGCCGCTCGTTCTGATCTCTGCCCAGTTCATGCGAAAAACTGTATGTATGGGCCCAACTGACGCGGATTCGTTCCGTGATCGATCATAGACTACCCAATACGCGCCTTCCATGATATACCCGAGAAAGCAAGGAGGCGGAAGCGACAACTTGGGGAAGAATCATGAATTGTGAGTATTCCCTGCCTAGCTGTGCTTGAGAGGCGGCGAGAGTTGCGTCATGATTTCGAGAGGGCCACATGAAACTTGGGGGGGAGATCGAAACGAGAGTTTCACCCATGGATATTCACTCGATCGAGACGAGACCAAAGTTACAGATGATGGAATTTTTTTTCACGCGTTGTTTTCTGCTGCTACGATGGACTGGTGACAAGGGGGCTGCTGGTTGGGTGTCGGTGTCACTTGTTGGCCCCGGCTAGATGACATGGAAGGGAACTCTAATCCTGGGTGGGAGAGGAAAGCGTCGGGTGCCACGCTCTCATTATTTTATTAGCCAGGGAGCTCCCTTCCAGACTTCAATAACAGTAGCCCATCCGAGAGAATACAATGAACCGACCCGCCTAGGTAAAGGGTTCCAGGCTGCGGGCGTATATGCTTGAATGTGAAAACCGTCCGGAATCTCCAGGGCACGAATCTCGTCGTGCACCGTGTGAACCCGTTCCGTCGTGTTCGTCCAAAGCCTCAGGTGGTGTTCTAGCGATCTCCCACACTGTTCGACAAATGTGTACCGCTTCCATGGAAGTATATATCAGCTGCTATGGAAGTTGGATCTACTCCCATGGAAGCTGACACCTCATGGAAGCTACACGTTTTGCGCTTCCATGTACCATGATCATGGGAGTGCAAAACGGCACTTCAATGGAAGCGACATTCACTTCCGTAAAATTGAAGGCATGAAATGTGGATGTGCCACTTCAGGAAGTTAACTACGAAAGTCCCATGAAAATCCCGTGGAGCGGAATAGCTTCCATGGAAGTTGAACCTTAGGCTTCCATGGAAGATCCTTGAAATAGGCTCAGGTTAGCTTCCATAGAAGCTCTTTTCGGGGTTTTCGGGGTTAGGGTTAGGGTAAGGGAAGCTGGAATGACCACATGCCCAGACTCTTCCGTTGGACGTTGCCTTGGGGGTTAGGGTTGGGGATAACGTTGGGGTTAGGAAGCTGGAATGACCATAGGCCCAGACGCTTTGTAGAAGTTACTTTCATGGAATTTTCGATGCGTCCACGGAAGTCGGTTTCTACCTCTGTCACCCACTTCCATGTAGGGTGCTTTCACGGGATTTTTCGCGTTTCCATGGAAGTGGCATAGACTCTGTCGAGCGACGAGCTCGTCCCGCTTCCGTGCAAGTCCAAAATGCGACTTCCATGGAAACAACGAGAGGTTGATATCCGGTGCTTCGATGGAAGCGGATCAACTTCTACGGAAGCGGAACATCTTACATGGAAGCTGGAACCCGAAACAGACGAAAAGATTCCTTGGACTTCCGTGGAAATCGATATTGACTTCTATGGAAGTGAAAGTGACTTCCATGGAAGAGGTAACCTCCTAGAGGCAGTGAACCATTCGTCAAATAGCTATGCTCTAGCCGCGGTACGTGCCTGCAATGAGAGACACGGGCACGTACTCCACCCCTCCGTTCACGCGCGCCGGTATTGATCGTGGGGTGCCCCCCGGATGAATACAACATGGGATCACCCCCACTTCCCTGTTCTCCTTACTTGCAGCCGCCGCGTTTTGAGGGCTCCGATCTTCCGGCCGCAGTGGTACTCCACACAAGCGGGTTCTTGTTCCTACTATCACGTCGATAGCACCCGTTCTTACATCAAGGTACCGGCCGTTGCCTATTTGCTTGTTGTGTGCTGATGATGCGGTGCTGCTCAACACACAGCGTGTGTGTATCCCTCCCGACCCTACCGCATAGCGGCTGTTGATGTCTGTCGTGTGTGGCGGTTCGAAAGGAACCAACCGTCAGTTGGTGGTTTGTCAATCGTCAGCTGGTGGTCTGTCGAGTCAAAGCCAGTGTTTTTCCTTTTCCGACCGTAAGGGTTGTGATCTCACAAAGTCCTGATCAGGTTAAGTTGAAATCTCCGAACCTCGCAAGTTCTTTGCCGCATCCTTGAGGCGCCACAAACCATCCCGTCGGCCGTCTTGCACTACTTTAGAGGTTTGAGCTTGATTGGTGCGTCGAGTGCTAACCTCTTGCTGCGTCGGTGTTTGGCCGAATCGACCTCGAAACACCAAGGTACCGTAGGTGCTCCCGCCATCAAATTAGATCCCCGACAAATCTCCAACAGAACGAGCACCTCGATTGACGCTGGAAAGGCTGTGTCCTTCCTTGTTCAGCCTGCCATCGGGGTGAGGTATTTTCTTCACCCATGGCGCCAAAGGATCGAAGCAGGCAACACAACATCACACCCGTACACCGGCGGACAAAACGAAATACACATGCCCATTGCAACACACGGGGGCAACGTAAGAAACAGAACGCGTGTGTGCGCTGTACTCACGAAAACTCGATATCGCTCCAAGACGCAAGGATAGCTCCGCCTGTCATGACCGCCAGGCTGACAAGCACGAGTGTGGGGTGTCTCCCGTGAAACACAAGAAAGTTAATGACCGACCGATCCAGCAAACTTGACTGTTGAGTCAACTGCATCAAGCGCGTCACATTTTCCCACCATTCTCTGCCGCAACACATCATCAGCGACAGCGGCTGGTGAAAGTAGGGACTACCTGCTCAGCTCCTCCCCTCTCTATTGGAGAACTCGCACGCTACCAACGCATCATACTTGGCGGACCCGCGCCGACCCGTCCCGGGAAGGGTTGTTCTTTACCATATAGATAGGTACTCTTCCACGGTTCCGCCTTGCTCTTTGAGGAAGCCGTTCAACACGGCCTGACACACCTCGTATCTTACGCGTGGTTGTCTTTTCACTAACTTGTCCTTGGAAGGATGGTAGACTAAGGATGGTCCTTACATGTACGAAACAAATACTTCAGAGAAACGCCACGTACAGTACAATGTCAACAAGCGTTGTGCGCACGACAAGTAGCTGAAACACAGAACCATCCACAGGTCATCAACACCATAGTCGCCGTGGAGTAAGCTGAGTGTGCGACGTCATCTGAAACCTAACGCGTTTCGCCCATGGGACGTTTCCTCTGCCTTCTTCAACGCGCGTATGCTATCGCAGCCAGCTCAGCCCATCCCGTCTTCAGACCGGAACACGGAATTTTCAATAGCGCCAGGCCTTCGGGCGATGCGTCGTACATGAGGCTTGCCTTCAAGACGGCCCCAACTGTGCACAAACCTTTCTTCGCACCGCGTCCAGGCTTTTCTGAATGCTGGTCGTATCGTTGTGTTTTCCCCCAAGCTGCTTCGCACAGATTGAGAGGGCTCTCTCCAATGGTTGAATTGCCTCCTTGTGCTTCTCCTGTAGGATATTTTGGGTCGAGCAACCGAAGACCGGGTGCCACCGCGTATGCGAAGGCCTAGGTGAAACGACCGAATCCTCCACGCAGCGGCATACACACGCAGTGAGTTGGCAGCAAGAGGTCCATCCAGGTGCAGAACGATAACATATTGACGCAAGAGAATTCAACACAAGGCCGGACAGTTTGGTCCTTTAGACTGCTGGCCTCTCAAGTCGCGTGTTTACAAGCCTGTGGGCGACAGGAGAATCGCGGCGAAACAACGAACTCGGTTGTTGAGCACCTGGGCCACTTCAGGGTGCTCCTGGCCTTCTCTTCATTAGCCTGTGCCCGCTCAAAAACTTGCTCAACCACACAAGGGCGCACAACAAAAACTTTCCGACACCTACCCGCCAAAAATAAATTATTGGACCTCTCGGGGGGGGAAGGGGGGGGGGGGGGTACCAAGGCCCCATCCCCCCCTCCCCAACACCATAAAATTTCCTATATAAACAAACACATACATCCTATACATGAACGGGGCACTTTGCGTGCACGGGGGTAGTACAATCCACGTGGCCCCTGGACAAGCTCGCGTGTACCGCGCCGCGGTACCATCCATAGCAGAAGAGAGAGACAGAGAGAGAGCTTGGGGAGAGTGGTCACGATGAGCACAGTCTCCTTTGGGAGGGAATCCCTATCAACGACCCCCTTCGACAAGACCGCTTGGTCTAACCGTGTATGCCGAGAGCGAGCAGATGGCTCGGAGTTCGTAAGCCGCTGCGGATACAATTTCGGCGACGGTTTAGGAGTGGACGAGCGCATTGTGATTATGTGTCCTTTGGTTCTGGTGTGTCGTTTCTTTGTATTATTTCGCCATATTCGCCCAAGGTCAAATGTCGCGGACTTGTCCCAGAAGCATTGACAAGTTCTGAGTTACTTGTAGCTTGGGGGTTCTTGGGGGTTGTCCCCAAGCATTGCACTTCAAGCCTAGAAAACCAACTAGAAGGAAGTGTCCCCAGCCCATCACAGCTACCATACGAAGTAGCAATCTTCTTCCGGCGCCAGATGTACACACCATTAATTCTCTCAAACTTATCAAACAACTACCTGGTAACAAGGTACATCGTGCACGAATATGTGCCGTAAACGCCAGCACACGCACGCGCACGCAATGGAGAAGGTTGAAAGCCAATGAGCTTGTACAACTGTTCCACGAAAAAACAACTTTGTTCGTACCCCGGGGTAGGTTTGCGGGAAAATGTTTTGTGTGCGCCCTTGAACCATCGCGTATTTGGCGGTGAACCACAAGTAGCGGGTTGGCGTATCAGGTACGCGTTAGACAACAGAACGGGGCAGCCAACACTACCGTAACATTTCACGATACTTCAAGTGAAGTTCCTTGGAATCTCACCTGACTACACAACAACACCGCTCGGTTGTTGAGGGTTGTGGCGACATGCGGATGCTCAGGGCCCAGCACCCTTTCGAATATCGCCTGGCACCGCGGATAGAGTGGCTCGGCCTCAGCATACTTGCCCTGCATACCAAGCGGTGCGATTTGGTGAGGGAGTTTTCCACCAAGAACTTCTACAATACGATCCACCGCCTTCACCGTAATTCCTGGAACGTTCGAATGGGACTCACCTGCATTCTCAACAACTCCACCCGGTCGTTGAGGACGGTTGACATAGTTAGGTGGTCAGAACCGAGAGCTTGTTCCCATATGTCTGTCGCCCGCTCGTACAGAGCCTCTGCCCTCGAGTACTCGCCCTGGTGTGCAGTCGTAAACAATGTGGATGCAGAGACCCAGTTCAGCTAACGTAGGACCTACAACTGCGAGCCCAGCACCTTGGTTCTTGGCCGCTCATAGGGCGGCTCGGTCTCAGCAATGTTGCTATGATATAGGGGGCAGCGAGGCAGAGAGTCGGGCGTCGGAGAATGTGAGATCTAGACTGCCGAGAATCATCTCCTTCTTGGAGCATCTCATCTGGAAACACCGTTTGGCTCCAACCTTTCAAGAGGTCCGCACGGTCAACAACCTGACGCCAGCAAATTCCCAGGAAACACATACGTCTCCTACCTGACTGGCGAACAATTTCGCCCGGTTGTTGAGCGAGTTGGCCAGGTCAGGGTGCTCCGGACCCAGTACATTCTCGCGAATCGCCTGTGACCGCTCGTTCAGCGGCTCGGCCTCGGCGTACTTGCCCTGTGAAGCAAGGAAGGCTGGCGTAAGGCAGTGGCACACCGACAAAATATGTACTTTATTTCACAGAGAAGTGTGGATCCCACGAACATTTCCTGAGAAATTCCTTGCGCTCTCACCTGCAATACCGCCCGGTCGTTTAGCACTGAGGCATAGTAAGGGGGTTGCACTCAGAATCTCCAGCGCCCGGACGTACAGCGGATCCGCCTCGTCGTACTTGCACTGGAATGTGGGGCGGGAACGCAATAGGAGTGTGATCAAGGCAGAAAACGTGCCGCTTTTTCCACGCTGCCAAGCACGGGAGGTGCGGTCCCTGAAGTTGATGCCGCTCGCAACACAAGCCTTTCCAGCCACTCGTGAATCTGATCCTTCGCGTCACTCCCCACCCTCCACCAAAAAAAAAACGCCCGAAAGTGCTTACAGATCGTCTCATCCCGTACCACTGCAGACGCCAGGACCGACTTTCCCCCTCCGGCGATGCCGGTCAAAACACAGGCGCGTCGCCCAGAGTCGTGTTCGTGAGGTAGCCAACAGTTCTCCCGAGTAACCAAGGCCGCGCGACGTGGGTATCGGTCAGGGAGATCGCCCCTCGAGGTACTGCGGCCATATCCGGCAACGTTGGAGGGCACAAATGGCGAAGCATCGCCAATAGAAGCTGTTGATGTTCCAGCCCGTCCACCGAGGCGATGTCGTTGCTGATGCTGCGCAAACCCTCCTCGTATTCGATGAGAGCGCTCAGGTCGGCGTGGTGACAAGAAGGTGCCCTGCGCTTGCCATCCTTGGCCCACGCCGCAAGCTTGTTGGTCGTGGCGACGAATTCTTTCATGGGCTTCTGCACCTGGGCGAGGGGACCAATCACTCGGGCGTGCTGGATCAAGACGGTGGTAAGAAACGCGCACCGGGATATCAAACTCACTAGTTTGTCCTCGGACTCCTCTGCATCTTCTGCAGCCTCGATCAACGTCTTGAACGTCTGGCACACGGGCACTAAGGGCCCTACGCTCGCAGTGTCGAGCAGCCCAACTGTCGCTGTCGCCATCCATACCAGAGCCTCCTGGACGGGGGTGGGGCAAGCCTCCCACTCCTCCGTGGCTCGAGCTGTGATGTGCAGGAAGGCGGGCCAGGGTTTCTTTTCGGCGAGAAGCTTGCCAACATGATCAAGCCGCTGGCAAGGGGGGAGGGTAGCGAGGGAGGGTGGGCGGGAGGGGAGAGGACGGAACCTCACGCATGGATGCACGGTTCTGCGTTCGAGACTGGATTGGATATGTACCGATCGAAAAATAAACAATGACCAAACGTCATACACGCGTGTCTTTCGTGTGAAGATAATACGCACATCTGCCGAAGTGGGTTCCACCGCTGTTGCAAGACCCGCTTGGCCTCCAATGGTGGGAGCACGTTGCATCCCCCCCGCCGCTTATTGTCGTGGGCACCAGACTGTCACTGAGCATAAAAAAAAAACATGTGGCAGGGAGGCACCACACGGGGATCAATACACTGTGAAGCGTCAAGCTTGCTAGATATGTCTCCGCGAAACATAAATTGCTGTTACGACAAGACCATGCCCGCTGCTCGAAACTGCTTCTTCGTCGTATGTTGCTGCTCTACGCTTACCCGGCGAACAAGTCGTTGGAGCAGCAGCTGCTATTGTGTTGTGCAGCATCATTATTCTGTGAGAGCGGCGTTTTGTGTTTTCCACAGTGATATAGGTTCACAGGGGCTTCGTAACCTATTCAGGCTAAAAAAGGCGCGCATGCTGAGACGCTGAGACCGAATAGGTGATCGCAGGCCAGAACAAAACAGCAACAACAGTTGACGGTTAACGTGCGTCAAGGAAAAAATATACTTCATATTTGAAGTGCAGGTGGCTCCACAGTTCCTCCTCTGTCTATATCCATGGTTCGCCGGGTGGGTGTGCAGCGTGTAGGAATAAGGCGGGCGTTGGATTCGCCGCCACTGGGTGTCAAGAACGACCAAGCTGACGATACCTCACCAGATAGACTCTATCGTCTATCGCGTTCCTTCGTTATCATCAACTGGCCGTTATTGTCTTTTCACCACGAACCGCTGCTGCTGGTTGTCATTTTGCTGCTATCAAGATCTCTGCAATATACTCTATCTACCTCTTGTTGAGTACTAAGCGCCGCTGTGCGCTGATGACGAACGGCGCAAAGTAAGTTGCCTTGCGGAATCGACCTAGACCGCCTGGACATATTCATTGCGTTATGACAATATCTACAGTCGGATTGTGCTTCCTCCTTCCTTCCCTGTGGTTGTGCCCCATGCTGGCCCCCCGTTCGTTCTTCCAAAGGCCCATGGATTAATTTATCTCAATGGCTTTCTTGACACTATTTTTTTCATCCCTTTCCTATCGTGACTACCCGAATCCTAACCACCCTACATAACCAAAAACGCCCCAGGTTCTTTGCGAGGTAGTTGTACCGTGATTAGGTGCTAAGTTGGCGTGCAGGATGGACTGGTCTGTGAGGTTGTTGGGACAAGCACGCGAGTTATCTACACGCCACAAGAACTTTCCGAAAATATTTTTCCGTCGGAGAATGCGAAGTCTGGTACGTCGAAGCCCCCAAGAAGTCTGGTACGTCGTAATCCCCAACCCTACTGGAAAGAGGCTGTCAAAATGCACGTCGGAGACCATGTAGGTCGAGCGATCCTACGAAGCGCTTCCGACTTCGTCATATGCTCAGCACAAGAGTAGAGATCATGCCGCAAACAGGTACACACTGCTACCGCATGTAGACATGAAGACTAGAAGACCATGCATCAAGATCGAGAATCGCAGCCAGCTGATCACAGGCCGACACGAGCCGCATCGAAAGCAAACAACGGGCCGGCAAATGTGCAAACGGAATTCGGCGGAAAGTAACGAAAAGGAAACGACATCCAAACCAGCTTGTTAGCTTGTGCCCGCCCACGCGCGGAGCCTTCTGGGGTTTGTTCTGTCGCGCATTGCACAAATTCGCCGCAAGTGTTGGATGTACTCACAGCATCAACAGATTATTGCGAGCAAGAATTTCCCGAGCAGATGGAGCGGGGAGTTTGGGGGTTCAATGGTTGCTATGGATTAGATTTGGTGGTACCAACTTTATCACATATTGCAGGTTTGAGGGTATGGGTGTCTACAACGGAATTTGTGTGCGTGGCTTGTGGTTCCTCACTTCCTTTTTCTGTGTATAATCAAGTCCTTTTTCCGGCTCTCACGCCAACCCCGGCTTCCACGCCTTCAGGACTCCCACGTCCCTACATATACCTTTACATCTGCACGGTAAACTACGATTCATCCGTGGAGTGTCAAGTGACTCCCTTTTCGCCTCCCGCCTTCCCCACAAAGATGTGTCTCAAGTGAATGTTGCGCGTGAGAGTTTTCTGGTGAAGCCGGCCTCTACTGCCGAGAGTAGTGACCCCTCGAGAGAATGGGCCCATTCCTGCATGTTGAACATCTTTATGCATGCCCAGAGATCTGAAGTGTTGACTTGCCTTCTGGATTCGGATTTTGAACCCCCCCGCGTGACGGATGTTTCGGCAGAATCCTCTGCCAGGATGATAGATGTTTGGGAGGGTGCTGAGTGTGATCGTGCTTTGGCTGTGTTGGGTCCGGGTAAGACGCCTTTCCATGTCGGCAATGCAACAAAGGTTATGGATATTAACACGTTCCACCACCGTGCCGGCCACTTGTCCGAACCAATCTTGAGGTTATCCGCAAAACAACACGGAATCACCCTCACGGGCACAATGGACAGCTGCCGGTGGTGCTTGCCGGCGCGGGGGACGAGGGCACCGGTGCCGAAGCAGGGGGGCGGATACCGCGGCAAGAGGGCGCCGAACGACATGTTCCACATCGACATGTGCGGCGGGTACACGGCGACCATCGGCGGCAACCACTACATGCTCTTCGGTGTGGACGCCGCCACGGGCTGGATCGTCTGCTATGCCATGCGGCGGAAGTCGGAGGCGTTGGCGGTCTTCAAGCGCATGGTCGTGGACGCCGCCCACAAGGCTGGCACCGCGATCAAGTGCGTCCGGGGCGACTGTGACGCCCTCTGGACCAGCGGCGACTTCAAGGAGTTCTGTGCCAGCATGGGGATCGCGATCGAGTACTCCCCTCCCGGCGTGCAGCAGTACAACGGCGTCGTCGAGAGCGCCATCCAGAGGTGCCTCAAGGTCGGCAAGGCGTCTCGCCGCGCTGCCCAAGAGATACTTGGCCCCGCTGGATTTTCTCGTATCCGCGGGCTGAGCGTTCGGGGCGACGAGCTCTGGGCGGAGTCCGCAAAAGACGCCGCGCAGAAGCTGAACCAGTCTGCATCTCCTTCCAACGCAGGGGGTGCCTCGCCGCAGGAGCTCTACACCGGCAAGAAACGACCCTTCCGTTTGGTACCGTTTTTCCAGTACGGTTTCATGTGGGAGCGGCCGGCGACCAAGATGGA